GCAACAAGAATAAAAATCCAGCAGTTAAACCTCTAAGAAGAATATAAAATCAATCACTGATGAAAATGCCAAACAGTGGCCTCATTAAAACATAGCATGGAAAACCCCAAATCAAACTGACATACCAAAAGCTGGTATGTAAATATAAGTAATGGCCTGACTGAAGAAGGACCTCATAGAGTTGGTTTGGTGGGCCTCATTGAGAGGAGAGTTTGAAAGATTGAATGCATCCACCCAGAAAGGCCTTAATGGAAGATCTCAGCACTTGAATAGGCTCATATACAAGAAAGCAACCCTTTAGGTAGCATGTTACCGTATTATCTGTGTTGTAATCTAATTCTTTTTAAATTGTATTTAACTTGTGGTTTTTATATTTATATGAAAACCACTTAGGGTTTAATATAATTAGTGGTATCATTGACACAGTGCAAATAAATAAAAGATGCTCATAGGCTGTTATGAGTTCTGCTTGTCATTACCCCTCTTTGAATTGTGCCCAGAAATCTGTTAACTAGTGGATTTGTTGTATGTTCCCTATAAGTGGGTCTGGTCAACAAGTCTGGAACCTTCTAAACCAGCTGAAGTTTCTGAGCATTCATCAAAGGCAGTCCCACATAGAGTGCATTAGCAATCTGAAGAAAGATATAACTGAGTTATATACTGCTGTAGCTAGGAACAATGTGTTAATGTGTGGACAGATGAACTAGTGAAACATGTTGTGACCTAACCATATTTGTAGAATTATTCACATAGCAGAATTAAAGGTGACATGCATTCTCGGAATTTATAAACATTATACAAACTTCTCATAATTGTATTTTCATCCAGTGCTGAGACTCATTGTAACAAGATCATAGACTGGCTTTGAGGTGAAGAAAAGCAATTTGCTTTTAAAGTTACTGACATGTTGAACTCTGTAACAAAGATGTGGTACATTCATTGGAAATTTGTTACTAGTGTTTTTGTTCAAGTAACTTTGAATGCTGATACTGATACAGAATTAAATATGGCTGCATGTCACATATATGTGATGGGAATGAAAAGACTGCCTTAAGAGAAGAGGTGCATACTTGGTCCACAAGGACATAGTGCTCTGAATACATCTCAGCACAGCCCATGCAATTTTACTAAGAGAGGACAAAAACTATTGAAACAGGTAGGCAGCTTGTAGCCCTCTCTAACCTTTTTGACCTGTAACTCCCATCTTTCCTAGCCAGTGTATCTAAAAGAAATCAGCAGTTTTAGACTAAAACATCTGGAAGGCCACAAGCTGCCCACCCATTATAATAACTCTATGAAACTGGAATGTACAATGTGGTTTTGTGTGTTTATGTAGAAAAGGAAAATTGAAACTTTATTGGAAAGCAAGAGTGTTGAACTTACGAGGCTCTGGATTCTGAGTATTCCAGACTACATAAAATTAGGCATGGTGTTCCATTCCCAAAACTACTCTCCTCAGTGGTACCCAGACCTGGGTGCCTTGGCACACCTCCCCAAATTGCTTTTCTCTTTGCTTCGGTTGAGTGTCATAGTAGAGTAGAATTGGAGGGGGCCTATGAGATCATTGAGTCCAATCCTCTGCATACTGCAGGATGCCCAAGTTAAAGCATGCCTGACAGATGGCTGTCCAACTGCCTCTTGAATGCCTTCAGTGCAGGAAGCTCACCATATTCCTAGGTCAGTGGTTCCATTGCCATACTGCTTTAACAGTTGGGAAGTTCTTTCTGATGTGCAGCTAGAATCTGGCTTCCCGTAATTTAAACCCGTTATTCTACGTCCTGCATTCTGGCTGGATTGAAAAGAAATCCTGGCCCTCCTCACCGTGACAACCTTTCAAGCATTTGGAGACCCCTTGGTCGTCTTAAGGCAAACATACCCAGTTGTTCAATCTCTCCTCATAGGGCTTTGTTTCCAGTCCCCTGATCATATCTATTGCCCTCCTCTGAACTTTTTCCAGTGTCTTTACATCTTTCTTGAAGTGTAGTGCCCAGAACTGAACACAGTAATCAAGATGAGGCTTAACTAGTGCTGAATAGAGAGGAACCAGAGTCTCATATGATCTTCATTTCCTTTTTTCTTGCCTTACAAGTCATCTACAATCTAGCTGCAAAGCTTCAGAGAGGGCACTGTTTGGATTCATGAACTCATTGCAATCTCCTTTCCTCCAGAAATGTGCCCAATACCCTTTCTTCAAGGTTGCTTTTTTATGTTCTTATGATGCATGTGTTTTTGAGTTCCATACTTGTGGCATGGGTGGCTCAGTACAGTGGATTATGTTATATTTTATTTCCACTTGCTATTTAACTGCCCTTCTGACTGCCCTCATTGTAACCGAGCTTTGTCTGGAAGTTTGCATTATAGAGGATTGCTAATCTGAGTCAGGCTGGCATGCAGTTTTGCAGCAGACTTGTTAAATCTCTGAGAAGTAAAGTGATAACCATATGGGGTTGTCGGTAGAGAAAATGGGGGTTGCTTGTGTTCTCAGCTATATGTTGTAGTGCAATACCATGGTGAGTACTGTTGATTCTACCTAATTACTTGTATGTTTTAATCTTTGAGTTTTGCATCAAAGTCTAATGTTATAATGCAAAATAATACCCTATTGAATTTAGTATTGATATGTCACAGAGTCGGACAGGCAGATATAGTAGCATAGAAATTATTCCTGCAATAAATACAGGCATCTTTGAACAGGAACATAAGCAGTCATGAGTGGCAAAGATGATTCCCCAGGGTGCTACTGGAATCAATCGCTGCAAGAATGAGGGAATGTTCCCTCCTTGTGAACAGATTATCTATTCTGTAAAGGCTCCTTTGAAGTGATTGGGTATGAGCCTAGAAAATTTTATTTGTACTGTTTCACAATCTGTTTTCATAATTAATGTTAAGTATCAACACTAAGTAGCGTTAAGCTTATGCTGAGGATGGTTTTTTGTTATTCTAATAAAATAACTGGTTTAAATTTTGCCTGTCAACAACCAAATCTTTTTTGACCTGTTATATTGAACCAGTGCCTTAAGCTTTTTTTTGTAGCAATGAAGTTTGGTACAGGCTCGGAAAAGTAAATACAGAGTGGTTCCCTGCCTACTGCCATGCTATAAGTTTGATGTGTTATAGGAAGATGGGACATGAATGCTTCCTTACCCATTTGTCCAACCTGATAGCAGGGATAATGTCCATAGCAGTACACTGCATTTCAGTAGTACAACTTTTTTTGTTCTACTTCCTTTTATACTCACTGGTCTTATAAAAAAGCAGGAAGGAAGCCTTAAAATTGACCTAAAATAATATATTTTTTTTAAAGGTCCAAGGAATGCAGCGCATCTCTGTGTTGGTCGCTTGAGTACATTTATACACTAATGTTCTATATTATGACCTTTCCTAAAAGACTGTAGTCCCAAGAATCCCTAAATAAATTTGCCAACTTGCCTGTGGTAAAAGTACAGTACTGGCAGCATTGCAGTCCTGCTGAACATAGAGAAGTATGAGGGAATCTCCTTCACATTTATGCTGACTTCAGAGATATTCAGAACACATTGGAAAAGGGACCACAGTTTAGTGGTGCAGCACATGCAGAAGGTTCTGGGTTCAGTCCCTGATTAAAGAAGGATCAGTTAGCAGATAATAAAGGAAGTCCCCATGCTGTGATGCTGCTGAGCTGCTTTTAGACTGCTGGATTATGCACAGAACTATACTTTGTAAACTTCTCCAGTGCACAAACTTGATATAAGGTGCATGAGCCAGGTATAACTCAATTATGTTCATGAAATGGGAATAGGTTCCATTGCTTTAATCGTTGAATTGGGTAGAACATCCGGAAGGTACTCATACTTCTCTAGATATTCAGAAAGTGGTGAGGCTCCTTGCTGCTTGCTTAGTATACTTGAGACTCAGTAAAACAGTGATGAGTTCAGTGCTGAGCAGGAGAAGGGCATGGGCTTATCTCCCCTGCCTCCATTTCAATGGTGCTTGGCGGAATATAACATCAGAGAAGACTGCTCTCTTGGAGGAGCAGAGTTGACACAAGTAGCTATTTTAGCATTTCTCAAGGCCAGCAAAAATTGTGGATGTCTGTTTATAAGTGTTTAAGAGAAGAAGTTAAAGCTATGAATATTTATAAGCCTTTCACTTTATGGCTGTTTACAACATTCAGTAAATTTAATACAGCTGCTCAAATAAGTCAAGATAAGCAACTAAGTGTTCTTTGGTAGCATTTGTGACTGCTAGATGTGGTAGGTATTTGGTCAGGTAAGAGTACTTGCTGCTTATTTCAGCACAACTGCTTTAATATAATTCAGTAACTGAGGATCTCAGCTTTTTATGTTCAGTATGAGTCAGCTCTAGATTCTGAGTTATAATTCTGTTTTTTGGATGCTGACCAGAGTGCTTATAGCAGAAGCTTCACCCTTCAGAAGACACCTTTCTTCAGGATCACAGGCAATATGTGGCCCATGGGCTCTATTGTACCATTTCTTAGTCTGCTTTATGCTTTTCCTATTGAAGTTCAGTAGCAGTAACAGCAAAAAATACCTGCATTTCACCTTTTAAGATAAGGTGCATGATCAGCATTTACCTTGTTCTAATTGTGCTATTCCAGGACCATAATTTGCCTTGAAAAAAACAGTATCAAAAGTGGGGTTGCATAGTGCACAGTGGGGGTTTAGGGGACAAAATGTGGCCCCAGAATTTCCCATCTGTGTTATTAGGTGTGTTTTAGCACTGGTATCTGTAAGCAGGCTGCAATCAGGTTGCTTCAGTGCAGTAGTGCAAATAGGTAAAAGTTCTCAGCAAATATGCTCAAATCCCATGAGTGAAAAATCTTGGATAAGAGATCTGGAGACTTGTGGGTGAAAAACCATGATGCTCAAATCCCATGGGTGAAAAATCTTGGATAAGAGATCTGGAGACTTGTGGGTGAAAAACCAATCTGTTGTGCTTAGACTGTTAAAAACTTGAATTGCTCTGGGTTTGTCAGTTATCAGTGCTTTTTTTCTTTTCAGTTGCTGGCTCCAACTGAGGATTCAGAATGGGAGACAAACCTATTTGGGAACAAATTGGTTCCAGCTTTGTACAGCATTACTTCCAGTTATTTGATACAGACAGGACTCAGTTAGGAGCAATATATGTAAGTAGCTACTGAAACAAGGTTCCTTCATTATTTTGAAAGGTTGCACACATATTCCCCCCTCCCCCACTAAAAACACTAATCATTCTAAAATACTGGTCAAGAATGCTTAACAATTATTCTAGATCATCTTAACTCATTTTGGTAATGTTTCTAGTCATGCCTACTGAGGAATTATAACTGCTTTGGTGTCTCAGTCAGGATTTAAAGCAAATCTGTGCTATTCCTGATTCATTGGAGAATAAAATGAGGAAGAAAATGAGACTGTGGATACAAAGCCATTGCTTTATCTTAGAAGGTTGGAATGACCGTTAGCACTGCTACAGAGCTTGTTACTGCCCCATGGAAAGTGTCAATGAGACAAAATAGCTCACACTACCACCTACAGTTTTACATTAGTATCTCTTTCACAGAGCCAACATAAAAATGGATTGGCTGATGCTTCTCCTGTAAACTTGGCTGACATATTTTTTTTAATGGAAGCAGTCAAAGTGTGTGGAAGATTACTAAATATGCTGGACTATATGTAGAAAAGTGAAAGACTTCTGAGATGTCTTTGCCCAGGCTGAATCAGTTCAAGAAGGCAGGTGCTTTTTACTACATTCCAAGCACAGCAGAGGATCTGATGCTGCATTAGCAGACCAGTTCTGTTGAAGAATAGCAGGTGGTGGGGATTGCAAATATAATTGTAAAAATCTGAAAACATTACTGGATGAAATTGAATTGCAGCTGCTCTGAACAATTGGTGTTTCTTCTGTCTGTGGTGTTGAATGACATTTTGCGTCATTCTGAGTTGTTAAAACTTCAGGAATGGATTCAAACAGCTGCCTCTTTCTTTGCTTCTTATGCAGTATGCTTCACTAGGAAAATCTATGAAAGCAAGCTAAAGAAGCTTGAGATTGACTGAATGGTCATTTGGTCAATCCCTGATCAATATTAAAGAATATGAGTGTTGCTCCCAGCGTGCAAGGCTGATGTACTACATACCAATGAATTTCAAGATTAAACTTTGTTCTATAAACTGAAGTAGTTTTTCTTTTGTTTACTAACTATAACATACTTGATCAGAAGTACACATTAAGGACATAAGAACATAAGAAAAACTATGCTAGTTCAGACCAGTGGTCCATTTATTTATTTAGAAAATTTGTAGGCCGTCCATCATAGTCGTCTCTGGACGGCTTACAACATTACTTCAGATCCTAAATAAAATATATTAACTATATAGTCCAGCACATCACAGTGGCAGATCAGCTTCCCATAGGATCCTGGATGGGTGAAAGATTTCTGCCTGCCCAGGCTCCTCAGCATACCACCTCTGATAGTGGAGATAGCACAGAGCCAACAAGGCTAATAGTCACTGATAGTCTTCTCCTCCATGGATTTGTCTAGTCCCCTTTTAAAGTCATCCAGGTTGTTGGCCGTCAGTAGTTTCTGTGGGCATCAGTGAAGTATTTGGCTAACAACAATCCTGACCCTGGCGGTTACTCAGAGGTATGTCTTAAAATTTTTTTAATATACTTGGTTTCATTGTTTAGCTGAGGCTTCACAAAATTGATAAATTCCATATATTTAATGGCTTACAATGGGTAGACAACTTCCAGATGTTTTAGTCAACACTCCTGGCAGCCCTAATGGGATGGGATGATAGGACTTGTAGGTCAAAACATCCGGAGGGCCAAAAGTTGCCCATGCCTGTTTTACCCTGTAGTAAAGTACCTGTGTTTGGATTCATAATAGGAGATTTTAACTCCATCCCCCTGAGATGGTTTTAGTGTCTTCCTTCTGCTTAGTTCTTGGGCCCAGAGAAGACTACTTCTGTTGACTACTTCTTATCACATACTGTTTGCACATTACCTACTTGGAAGAAGGCTAGGATTGCTCATACGGACCAAATATATGTAGTGGTCATTCTAATAATGATTCTGTGTCCTAAAAGACTGCATCATGATTTGTTAGGAGAACAAACTGCTAGTAATTTCCTGTTGATACTGGGTTCGACCCAGATGCAATTTATTCCTAGTCTGTTTTCTCAGCTGCACAAAGCACTTGTGGCAGGAGGTGGGGTTAAGAATGCAGTTGGTTCTATTTGGTCAGTTTTGTTGCAGAAAGTCATGCAAGCATGAAGTTATCATCTAATTGCATGGCAGGCACATTCTTTTGCACCACCATGAGGGGATAAGCAAAACTTGCCTTTTTATCAGCATGTGCCATCTAGGTTTAACAGAGATTGCCAGCATGTAAGATACCCCATGTTGTTGATGGTTGAGATAGGATATGCATAAAGTTAGGTTGAGGTATAGGCTCTGACTAAAACAGTGAGCACATGCCTGGGCACTAGTTAGGGTGACAAATGGAGCCAGGACTGCCTAAGTGCATCATCTGGAGTTAAGATGAAGTTAGTACCAGAACACAGACAGATGATTTAGGCTCCTAAGTCTGGACAGGAGCAAGATATAAGATAGAAGGTAAAGCATTGGAAGTCTAAGAACAGGGAGAAGATTGGTTAAATTTTTTTTCAGCAATTACTTCGCTGTAGAGGAGTGAAAGTGGGGATGTTGCATCTCACACCCCTCTACTTGTGGTTGATCTGTTAGCCAGTTCTGTTGCCACAAACACCACTTAAGTAAATTACTCACAATTAATTAAGATACTCAATATCCTGCACTTTCTGTCCCACACATTAGACCTCCAAAGCAGGTGATGACAATAAAATCAGTACTTGGGATGAAAATATACAAAAAAATCAGAAAAGGGTAAGATACCCTTCAGAAAGGGTAAGTTTCAAGGGCAAAATGCACCAAAATAGAATGCCACCCATGCACTCTAGAATGACAGCTGAGACAAGCTGTAGGGTTGATGGATATTTGTATTAGATGCTGACTCTGTCTCCTTGGTTTATTTTTTAAATATCTTTTAAGATCATGATTAATATTTTAAAAAATTAATTAAATTTCTCCTGCTATTTGATGCATTTGGAGTCAGGTCACAATCTTGAAAAGACCTATGGAGCCTTTGGGGAAAATAGTATTAGGTCGCTTTCCTGTGCATTCATGGACAGAAAAAAGGCTTACCCTGCTGACTTGGGCAAGCTGGCAGTTTTTCTGTCTAAACATGTATAGGATCGTGCTTTTACTGTATTGGGGAGGGCTAGGGAATATTTACTCTTGAGTGTTGGAAAACCAGGAGGTAGATTGCCTGCAGTGTTGTATTCACAAGATTCCAGCTGTTCTGGTTAGGCTTCCAGCTTCTGAACCTCCTTTTAGTTCTGCTGTTATTTCAGCTCAGTTTTTTGTGTAAAAGACTAGAGCTTAATCATTAGTTTTGTATCCTTTATACAAAATACAGTCTTCTTTTCCAAGCAAACTGTGACTTCCTTTTATTCTTGTCATTTCAGATAGATGCCTCATGCCTTACATGGGAAGGACAACAATTTCAGGGCAAATCAGCTATTGTTGAAAAACTTACAGTAAGTTTCTGCATTATCTATTGTTCACTGTGTGTCTGCTCAGCTTTAAACTTGGGAAGTCATTTCTTTGTAGACCATGTTCTGGCTTACTGATGTTGTAGTCTTCCATAGTGGTTGCCATACTGTGTTGGGAGTTTAGTTTCTTGACACATGGGTTCACTAACAGATTGTTTAGTATATCATGCAGGCAATGCCTGATCTTTTGGGAGGCACATCACTCCCATGGAATGCTGTGTGGATGGAAGCCTTTGTATGCACCCTGCCTGCCATGGGAACACCATTAGACTTGGAAGCAACAGTGCCACCTGGATGACAACAGAAAGACATGTTTAGGATTGGTTTATAGGTAGTTAATGCAGTCTGTGGTGTCCGGGTAGAGAAGTGCCATTTAATTTACAGAAGCACATGTTTACTTATATCTTAGAGTATTGATTTATGTTTTGAGAATAAGCACCATGGATCTGCAGCCTTTGGGTGGTCTTGGCAGCCATCCAAGATTGTCAGGGCCTTGCAATCATCTCTTCCCTTCTCCAGAAGCGTGTGTCAGGGGAGCTTTATTAGCTTGCAGCCAAGACACTCCAAGCACCTCTACAACACAACACCCAAACAACTGCCACCTTCCTTCTCAGCTTGGAATTAGAAAGAAGGTGGAATTGCCAGGCAGCTTCCAGAACAATTCCCACGCCCAACATCCCACCCAACTTGACAGGTAGGAGGAAGGTTAGGCACTCACTAGATAATTGTAGTGTGCTTGTCATGATAAATAGAACTGGGGAAGCCTGATCAAAGAGCTTGGTCTGTGTCCTTTTACACATTGCCATAAGAAAAGGCAGGTCAGTAGGTGAATGAATGCATTCTGGAGGGCTCCAATTTTGAGCACATACGTTTTTCAAAGCCTGTTTATTTACCTGAGAACCTGGCTTGTTGTCACAGACTTTGTCCACAAAGCAAAAGAGAGTTAAGTGCCCTTAAACCCATTGATTTCAGTAGATTTAAGCATGATTAACCAATGTATTAGATTGTGGCTTCCATGCTTTGTCAGACACATATCCAGTATGCGAACTGGCACTATTCTGATCTTATTCTATATTCCAGTGCAGACAAGCAATTTATTCTTATTTTGCTTCACTGTTGAGTCACTCTTCATGGTCTGACATACTAATGTTGATGTTTTAAAATATATCTTCCCTCCTATAACTGAACACCATTTATTTTTGTCTGGCCTTTATAAAAGTAAACATTTTTGTATGTTCAAAAGGGAAATTGCCCATAGACCTGGAAGGGAAATTTAAAAGTGTAGCTTCTCTAAATGGTGAAGCAATGTGTTTGTTTTCTTTTAGATTGAGCCTCCTAATTATATATTCTGAGCATTTTTCTCTTTTCAATACAGAGCCTTCCCTTTCAGAAAATACAACACAGTATCACAGCGCAGGACCATCAGCCTACACCTGACAGCTGTATACTCAGTATGGTAGTTGGCCAGCTTAAGGTAGGTGCTACTCTCAAGCTCAGGCTGTACAAAAAGAGTATCCAGAGCCCTGTTATGGTCCAATTCATATGGAATGGGTAAACTATGGTTTGGTTACAATTAATGGGCTTTGGACCTTCATTCTCTGTGCCCTCCTTTCCTATGTCTTGTGGTTGGCTGAACGCAGGGAGGAAGAAACTTGGAACATGAGGAGAACAGAGCATGTGTAAACTCAGCAGCCAAGTCTAAGCAGGAACATATAGATCAGGACAGGTTACTCTAGCAACACAGGTAATGAAACCTACTTTTGATTTGTCATGGAAGTCAAGGAAGAGCCACCTGCTCAGAGACAGTTTTCCTGCTCTGAAAGAACCTTGTTACCCCCTCTCCCCTTTCCCTCTAGCCTGTTGCGTTGCCTTTACAATAGCTAGAATTCAACAGGGACTCTCTTGGAGTCCCTTATGCAGTCAGTGATGGCTGGTGGAGCAAAGCCATTTCCTTTCTTGAATGCACCATATGTAGACCAGCTTCAAAGAGCTAAAACTGATTGTGTGATGGCATCTGCAAGGAGGAGAAAAGCACTGAAGAGCCTTGTAGCCCATTAATGGCCAATTTATTATGGCATATGCTTTTGTGGGTTAAAGTCTGGAAAAGATTATGTCATAATATACATATTTTGTCTTTGAGTTGCAACATACCTCTTCGTTTTTGCTGCCACAAATTTATATGGCTATCTTTTGGAAGTTCCTAGGAAGAGTTGCAAGAGTTGAAGCCTTTTCTTTTGTCCAATGACAAGCAAAAGTGGCAGGGAAAATGCAGTGAAACTTGTTCCTCTCTGTATCCCTTTTGCAGTATTCCATCTTTTAGCTGCTGCTACAGATTGCTCCTTTGGAGGGTTGCCTGGTGCTAACCATAGAAGGAGGTTTCTAAGTCTATGAAAAACCATTATCACAGGAGGATATGTAGATGTGGTTGCATATAGAATCTAGGTGGAAGGACATCTTTTTAAGAAAACGGGAGATTTTTTTTCTAGAGTTCTTTCAAATGATATATAAAGGGAAAGAGGGAACATACTTGTGCTTCTTTGTCTTGTCAGAAATCAGTTTTGTGCTTCTTCCTAGGCAGTTTCAGGCAAGATGGAAAAGCACAGGTTGGTGGCACTTCATGTACTTTCTGCTTATTGTCCTGTCAAAAAATAAAAACAAAACCCTCAGTGCAATATCACTAGCAGTTTTGTTTGTTAGTCAGTGCATACTTGTTGTATCACAAAGCTTTGTTTTGTTCAGCCAGTCAAAGCATCCAGAAAAATATTTTGTACAGATAACTCCCCAAAATGGAAAAGCAGACTACTCTGTGCATACAGCTGACATTGTATAACTTCACAAGTGTTCTTATGCTCACCTTTCAATACCTTACTACATCCAGTAAAATTACGATCAGAAGGGCTCAGCACAATAAAGCATTTGCATTGTATGTGGCGCTTCAGTCAGTGGAGTCCCACCTTCAGTCAGTGGGGAGAGCGTATGTAGAAGTGTTAGGAAAGGTCTCAGCACACTTTTTATCTGAAGTAATATTTATGCTGTTCCTCAGCCCAGCACCCACAAAATTACAATCTAAAAAGGACACAACTTACAAGGAAAAGGGAATGTAGAGGGAAGCAAGGAGAAATTAATTCTTACAGCAGGGCTGGTGGGTTGGCTGTGTTCTCACTCACATCTCCCTCAGCTCATCCTGCTGGAATGGCTCAGCAGACTGTACAAAGTTTTTATGTTCAAACGTTTGCAGAAGAGTTGGCTGTATTTTGTGAGGATTCTGGTTATTTTGCAAGTGGCTTGTTGGAAGCTTTTGCAAGATTTATTGTAGTGAATGAAATGGCATGATTTGCATCTTCCCTGTTACAGAAAACCTCCAGCAAAACAATTAATTTGAAAAGTAAAGTATGGACTATAAAGTAGGTAAGCTATAAATGTTAGGGGTAATAATGGGGCACTTATCTTGCCTTTTCTCTTCTAAGTATTCAACAGTAGAGGAACCTATGCATATGGATAGGGCCAGGGTTATAACAGAACCCCTCAAGGACACTGGCATTCTGAATTTTCAGGTCCTGTTATGTTAGTAATGGCTTCTCTCCTGTTCTGCTCAGGCAGATGATGACCAAATTCTAGGTTTCCATCAGACCTTTTTGTTGAAAAGCTTACAAGGTGCCTGGGTATGCACCAATGAAGTCTTCAGGCTAGCGCTCCACAATGTTTAGCCTCTGGTCGCCTCCTACCTCTGATCTTCGCAGTTCTCACAGAGTAAGAAGCGCTTGGCTTGCTCTTGTGTCCTAGTTGCTCTTGCAGTCTGAACAGCATGGGCATTGCTTGTGTGTTATCAAAGCAGGTTTGCAGAATGAGAACTCTGCTTGTCTCTTAGGACTGTGACTCCTCCAATGAGCAGGTGGAGTCCTCTATTTGGGAGCAGTGGCTGCAGAATTAATTCAGCATAATTATTTTTTAAAAATATCAGTCAGTTGCTTGCTTAACATATCCCAGACCTAGCATTGCTTAGAAACCTGGGGCATTTGTGTGGCACATAATGAGTATTCACCTCATTATATTTGAAGTTACTTTAGCTAAATCATGTAGGTCCTAAAGTGTAGCAGCATGTGTGCAATATTCCCTCCAAGATCAGGGAGGTGCCCTTCGTCCAAGCCAGGGTACTCTTTCAATTCCCATGAACATGTAGTCCACATACAAATGTTCAGATCTTTGTTCTAAGGATCTTCCAGTCTATAAATTACAACAGTGCTGGGGAAAGTAAAATGATAAAGCAAGCAAAGGACAGTTGTGAACAAATGCAGTTGCCAGAACGTGGGCTGTGTTTCAGTTGAAGTGAGAATCAAGAGTTGAAACCAAAGGCTTCACAAACAGGTGGATTTTTAAGAATGGTTTGGCTGGTGTTTGCAAGCTGCAACATTGAAAAGGTTGGAATGTACAGCATGAGAAAGAAACGAGGATGGGATTGTGCGACCGTGCTTGTGGATGGACTCACTTCATGGCAAGCACTTCTGTATGTCTCATCCATGGTTCTGGTTTTGCTTCACAAAAGCATCCTTTCACCCTTAAAAAGGTGGGACTCCTGTCCAATGTACGTGTGTGTGAGTGGCATGGAGAGGCGTGCAGTGAAGGAGAGTTTTTTATGTCTCGTTTTACCTTATTAATTAGAAATGTTGGTTTCCAGAGCCAGTGCAGAGCTTTCCATTTCAGGTCTGGAGTTTGCTTGACCATCAGTTGCCATGTGAAGCACAGTTTTCCCTTGTTTTTTTCTAAAGTATGTTTGACACTTAGGGTGAAGTAATACTGATTTCATCTTTGCTACTTTCATATTTTTTTTTACTTTTTATTTTCCCAACATATACAATTACATAGAAGAAAATGCAGAACAAAAGAAAAACTAACATAAACAGAACAGACTAAAGTGAACAAAATAAACAAAGTTGCCAAGAGAATTACAAACAAATGCAGCCCATATACTGCAGCTCCCAGAACCGACTCTCTTCATATCTTCCCATTCTCTATGAGAGTTTACAAAAAAGAAATCATTATTCCATACACCAACAGATTTTCTAATCAGTTCAAATTCTGTTGGTTTCCTTTTTCTTTTCCAAACTCCCCTGAGCTTCCATTAGTCATGCTAAGCACAATAAAATTTCCATTTGTCATTAAATTCTTCTAACAGTCTTCTATTTACATAGTTAGTTTTGCCATCACTGCATATTCTATTTTTCCATTCGTCAATGGTTGGGGGCTCCAGTGATTTCCATTTAGAAGCTATTGTGATTCTTGCATCCATAGTCATATACTTAAATAACTGTGCCATGTTTTTCAAAAGGTCTCTGGGACGATGTTCAAAAGTATGTTCTTGGGACTCATAGGAAACTTAATTTTAAAGATTTTCTGCATTTCTGCATGTATCAATTTCCAGAAATTTTGTGTTATTTTGCAAGCCCACCACATTTGATAGAAAGTCCCATCTACCCTGTTAGATTTCCAACATTTTGCATTATAATTCTTATCTATTTTCCATTATCTTTTGGAGTAACGTACCACCATAAACATTTCATACCAATTTTCTCTTACTGCTTGACTAACAGTGAATTTAATATCTTTCTTCCAGAGAGCTTCCCACTGACCAGATGATATTTCTTCACCAAGAATCTGTTTCCAGATTGTCATATGTTTCTTATCTTGATGGCTTTCAGTATCATAGTGTAATAGCAGTTTGTAAAGTTTTCCCAATACATGTATAATCTGCTGTATAATCAACTTTTCAAAACCTGTCAGACCTCTTAAGATACCTTCTCCTGTTGTGTTTCCGCCTTTGGTCTTGAAATCAATAAACAAGCCAATGTATATTTTTCCCTTCATCTTTCAGTTGTTGCCAAGATTTAACTCGCCCTGATCGGTCAATTACAACTTGATAAGTTATAAGATTGTTATTTCTCCTTGAGTGTTTCCTATATGCTTCCATTGGAGACATCGGGGTGGAGGAGGGAGGAGATTGGAGGACTAATTTTTTTCCTCATGGAATACTAAATTTTTATTAAACTATCTTTTAGCACATGGTTGTTATTTAAGATCAGAGCCTTCTTAGCTGATGATTTAGCCATAAAAGATTATGCATTCCATCTTCAAGATCAGCCAATTCCAACTTCACTCACCTGTTATTAGCATTTCGAATCCAATCTGCAGTGTAGACCATGTTCAGCAGGACCTCCTCTCTTTTTTGCGTCCTGTAAAATTTTGAATCTGATCCTTGATTTCTTGCCATATAAAACTTCTGAATTGTCTCTGCCACTCTTGAAAAACTTTTTCCAGTATTGCACTTGGTATCTTCTGGAAAAGAAATTTCAGTTTAGGTAACACATTCATTTTTACAATAGAAATTCTCCCCAACCAAGATTTTTTAGTTTAGTCCATTTTTGTAAGTCCTTTTGAATCTTCATCCAAGTTTTTTGAAAACTGTCTTGAAATGTGCATCATTATATCCTGTGATGTTTATCCATAAGTATTTAACTGGGTTTGAAGTTATTTCACATCCTGAGATTTTTTTATGTTTTCCTCTTCTGGTTTGGTTAGGAATTTTAATATAATTTTGGTTTTTTTCTTATTGATATATCCTGAATAAAGTCCAATTTTTTCAACTTGCTCCAGTACATGCTGTATGGATTGATGTGGATCCAAAATAGTCAAGAATATATCATCTGCATAACATTTTATTTTATATTCTTCTACACATGTTTTAAAGCCCTTAACATTTGGATCCTGTCTTGTCTTTTTTGCTAAGATTTCCAATGCAAGATTAAATAAAAGAGGTGATAAAGGGCATCCTCGACATGTTCCCTTCTCCATTTGAAAGCTGTCAGTTAATACACTATTGATTAGAATCTTCACATGTTGTCTAGCATAAATTGTCTGCATCCAATTCAAAAAGTTTGAGCCACAGTCTAAATGTTGGAGGGTTCTCATTAGAAAAGGCCAAGCTTTTCTAATGGCTTTCTCCATATCTAAAACAATAAGTGTAGCTTTTCCCCTTTTCTTCTTAACCCATTCAATTGTATCAATCACAAAACGTGTATAGTCTTTCATACTTCTTTTAGGGACGAATCCAGTTTGGTCTGTATGGATCTGTTTCTGTACATTTTCTTAACCTTTCTGCCATTATTGAAGTAAAAAGTTTATAATCAACATTTAATAAAGAAATAGGTTGTTAAGACTGTGGTCACATAGGATCATTGCCTTCTTTATGTATCAATGATATATGAGCTTCTTGCCATGTTGGTGGCAGTAAGCCTTCTTTGATTTCATTCATTACTTGTTGTAGTGGCAGAATTAGTTTTTCCTTTAAACATTTATAGTACATAGCAGTAAAGCCATCAGGACCAGGTGCTTTATCTTTTTTTCAATTTGCTAATAGCTTGTGATAGCTCTTGAATAGTAATAGTATCATTCAATATGTTCCTCTGCTCCGAAGTAAATTTCTCAAAGCCCCGTTTCTTCAATGGCAAGGGGCGGCATAGAAATGTAATAATAATAATAATAATAATAATAATAATAATAATAATAATAATAATATACTTCTCCATCCCATCTTCTGGGGTTGATTTTTTTTAACTTAGCTCTGAGAAGAAATTAATAAATTGCTCATGAATTTCCTTTTCCATATATGTTATGCCATTATCTTTCTTCACTGCAGTGATAGATCTTTCCACTTCTTTAGACAATACACTAAATATCTTCCAGGTTTATTTGCATGTTCAAAATATCTCTGTTTTTAAAATCTTTTGTATCTCCTCTGTCTCTAACATATCTAGCTGATTTCTTAATTGTCTAAGTTCAGTTAAAATTAGTTTATCGTGTTTTTTTATATTGATCCTCTACCATTTGAATTTGCTCCAAACATTTTTTTGTGCTGGCTTCCTTTCTCTTTTCCTTGGACATTGTTTCTATAAAGTATCCTCTCATAAAGGCTTTACTGGCTTCTGAAATTGTGACTGTAGAGACATCATTTGCATTATTTAATTGGAAGAATTCTTCCAATACTTCTTCCGACTGTCAGAATATCTTGCAGCAAAAGATTATCATTACGTCTCCATCTTCCTCCAGCCTGCCATATTATCTCCAATGGATTATGATCAGAAAGTAATTTGGGTAAGATCTTTGCTGCCACATGTCAATCCTTGAATATGTTTGATATCTGTTGGTAAAAAGGTACAATCCCTAACTGCAGTGCTTTTGAATCTCCATGCATCTTCTAACTGCAGCATTTCCATGTAGTTAAAAACATTTTAGGTAATTTGATACCTCTAGCATTTTTTGACTTGTCGATGTTTGGATCTATAACTCTATTCATATCCCCAGTAATCAGAAATTCTCCTTCTTGAAAATCCAATATCAGTTCAAAGAATTTTTCATAAAATTTTTCTTTTGCATCATTTGGTGCATAAATCACTGTCAATGTATTACTTTTCCTACTTGGAAATCTACTCTTTAAAAGCAATAAACCTTCCTGCTGGTTCTTTAAATTCTTCCACCACGTTTAGTTCTTGATTACTAACATAGATGGTAACTCCCTTTTCAGAATCTGCTGGGGCCACAAAAACCAGACCCAGATTTTTGCGATTTAGAATGTGAACATTTTTTTTCTTTATATGAGTTTCTTGAATACATACTATATTTGCCCTCTGCTTTCTTAAAAAATTAAAATTTTGAGTTCGTTTAGAAGGGGAGTTCATCCCATTGACATTAATAGATGAGATCTTCATTTTGCATCTTGTCCATAAAAAACCTCAATTATCTTTCAATAAATCTAGTACAGCATTCAGCTTCTGCTTCCAAGTTAATACTTCTCTTCCCCCTCAATTCAATTTCTGCATTCCTTCATTGCTGTAAATAACCTCCCAATTCAACATAGCTCCTAAAGCAGTACAGAATTTTAAAAAAGGAAAGGAAAAAGAGCCCGGGAGGGGGAGAGAAAGCAAAAGGAGAGTTAAGGGGGGGGGGGCAGAAAAAAATAGCACAAAAGGCAAAATCAGTTAATCAGCCTTCAATGATATAATGCTTTGTGGTGATGTTGTATCTCTGTTAAAACATTAGTTAAGGTTAGTTTGTTGGAAGAAACATTGTTCATAGAAGACTTCCATGAAAGGAACTCTGGCATCTACTTATTCCAACAGGGCTTCAAATCAGTCTATAGATGCATAAGTTCTTTTGTTAAATAGAAACATAGTTTAAGCTTTGCTTTCACAGCGGGGGCCCTCAGCCTTTCCTTCTCTCAAAGTCCAGTAGGTGATGCTGAACTCCAGCTCACTTTGTCCCAGCCTCAGGACTTTATTCTCTCCATAAAGCCTTAAGCAAAGTAGATCGAAGATTGAAGATATCCAAAAGATCGCACCTCCTCTCCCAGCTCAAGCCAGAGCCCAGGGGAGATACAGTTGCCTTTTAAAACAAGTCAACAAATAAATCGCTCAATTCATGTAGGCAAGCCACTCCTCAGAAAATGGCAATGGATAAAAGGGGAGACCATCTCCTCCAACACACAGAAATCTCAGTCATGACCAGTTGGTGATATCTGTAATTAATTTCTTGAATGATATCAAAGAATTTGCAAAATAAGATCTTATTCCAAGTCAAACAAGGTATTGTAAAATATCTATTTCAAAGTCATTTCCAAACATCAAACAGGAATGCCTTGAGAAAAGAATCTCAGCCTCAAGTCTAAGCAGTCCGGAGGACATGGTTATTCTTAAGTTAGAAAGCCACAAAGTGAACACAGAAATACTCCCAGCCAGTACTCTCATGCCAAGGTCAGTTTACACCATCTGTACTTCTCAATTCTTATTTCTGAAACAGAAACTTTAAAACAGTCTGCATGTAAAACATTAATCATCCAATTGTCTGTTCCAGAGTCCTTTTAAACTATGCAAACAAAAATGCCTTAAAAATCTAAACTACAGCAAATTAAAGTGTTATTATTGTTCCCTTGGCAAAAGCAGAAAAACAATACAAAAAAGAAAAAGAAAAAAGAGGGAAGGAAAACAAAAGAGAAAGTATATGTCGGGGGTGGGGGGGGAGACTCCAAACTCAGTCAGGGTTAACATCTCACCTCATTATTATCAGAGCAGAAGATGCAAATCTTTATGCTTAACTGTCAATTAACAGTTACAGAGATACAAGTAATGGATGGCATACAAATTTTATAAATAAATAAAATTATAGCAGCAAAAATACCTCTCAGAGGTTCTTACCTTCCTGAATGAGATAAGGAGAGGAGCAGCATCAAGCTGCTGCCATTCAAGTCACCATTTCCTTGGAAGTCCATCACCTTTGCTACTTGGAAGTCCCCTACCTTGGAAGTTTCCAATTTCCTGTGCCTTGCCAGCCCAAAGCAAGTAGGGTGGGAAGATCTTCACTGTCCATCTTGACTGAAGTTTTCCAAGCAGGATTTCCAACCCTTCTAGCAAGGGCATTCTAGAGAGGAGGGTGAGAATGAAGCTCAGAATAGCCATTCTCCCTGCTCTAGGAATGCCCCCTTTCCCCCTCCAAGGTCCTGCTTCCAACCTTGGAGACACAGCTGCATAGTCCTTTCTGTGCCAGCTGCAAGGGTTTGCTAGAGTTCTGTCTCTGACCTCAAGGGATTTTCTGAGCTCTCGTGGTCCTTGGGATGCTTGCACAAGGACCATCATATTGCTCTTACTCTGCTTAAAAGAGATGTGTTAGATTCTCATTATCAGCTTCCCTGTAATTGGTTCTACAGTAGTGTTTTTCACAAACAACAGAATGATATGCACTTCTGTTGATTGTAGGAGACGGCAGTAAGGTAGAAGCAGTATTATCAGATGATTCTATGGTAGTTGTGATAGAAGCCACACTTCTGTGAAAAACAAAAACATTACTAGAGTAACAGATCAGCTTGAATAGACTGCAAACTGGCAATAGATACAGTGTTTCCAATTTTGGGATAGATCACTGTCCTCTTTTAAGTGGTAAGTATTGGGAAGAAACCTACCAGTTTGCACAACTAAGGGAAACCTATTTTTATTGACTTTAACTGTACTTAATCTTACACTGCTAGGTACAGTACTACATCCTCAGATTATTCCTAATTTTTTAATTGCAAAAAGAGTAGTTTGCGGGGGGCGGGGCGGTTAAGCATAGACGTTATCTGTAGGGCAGTAGTAATGGCTAGAGATAATATATTACTGGTTTTTACCTATGTTTGATTATTGTCTGTGCCATTATAATTTTGCATTATTAAGATTGAAAAATGCATGTCTGATTCTCACCTATCTTAATTATTCATTAGCACAGAGAGGATTCTTAGGATGTATTAAATATGAATGTCGCTGCTGAAAAGACAAGTGTGCATGATGTCAGTTGCAGGAATTTCTCTGCTAGAATATAATTGTTGAAGTGCAGTGCTTCTAAAAACTTTTAATTTTGTCTTCACAGGCTGATGAAGATCCTATAATGGGATTTCACCAGATATTTCTATTAAAGAACATCAATGATGCTTGGGTTTGCACCAATGACATGTTCAGACTAGCATTGCACAACTTTGGTTGAGACAGCAACCCCGAGGCACCTGTCCTTTTTCTTTTCTCCTCCCCCCTTACAGATATTAATCACACTCATGGAACATTCCAAATATCATACACAAACCTGCAACACCACGGCAAGCAAGCAAGACCTGTGACATGCCCTTCCGAAGAGTTTTTATTATGTCACTAGAAGAGTTCCTTGTGCATGATGTTTGGAAGTTAGACTTAGCTGCATTTGACAAGGGAAGTGTGTGTTTTACCCACCAGCCTGCCTCGGGAAGAATCCATAATGCAAAAGGTTGTGTTTCTGTACTGACAAGTTGCTCTAATAACCCAAAGACACAAAAGGAAAGGAAAGAACAGCAGCCTGAATCCAGCTCAAATATTGATTTTTGTTCAGATGTTTCAGTGCTACATTATATAATAAAACCATGCAATTTTCCTAACAGTTTAAATTGTTGGATGTTCAGTCTGTAACTAGGGAGTCTTGTATCTCCAACTCTGTCAGAATATTGGCTTGGGAACCTATTGCTGGGCATAATTCTGAAGTTTTTAAAAAGGGTCTCCATAGCTGTTTTATACTACTCACTTGCCACTGTTAAAGGCATAAAAACATTAATTACTGACAATTCCACCAAATATCTGAAAAAGGAGATCTTTCCTGCTCCTGAAAATCATAAAATGTATTTATATTAATTACTTGTAGGTATATCAGATCATTACATTGTGTCTCAAATGTTTTCTCCAGTCTTTTATGTAGAAGGACATGGAAGACCATGCCTTAAAGCAACAATTCAACACATAACTCTGGGCAGGCTTGTTTCCAGATTAGCATATTCATACCATTTGCTTCTTTGTTTAAAATCTGGGTCAATACAACATTTACTATCTTTGTTTTGCCACTTCAAGACACTTATTTTAACAATGAGCTGTAACTTTGGCCCAGGATGCTGGTAAACCACGTAAGTTTCTGTGCTTGCCTGTGGCTTGCTTTGGATTGTGCCCTGGGTCCACAAGCATACTTGTTGCAATAAGCAGTGGGTACTTGCCACCAATAGCAGTGTTTTAACAGTGCCAATACTTATAAATTGCTTTGAAAACTTTCAAGAAACAAAAACATTTTCCTGCAAGGCTGTTCGGTTGGGAACAGCCCAGGAGGGTTAGAGAAGAAACATGTTTTCAAAACGGCAGATCTTGTTAAGATGCATATGGCATTAAAGGCACATGTTCTAAACTTAATAAATTAGGTTTAAATTGGGTTCATGTGCCTAATTTCCAAGCTACTTTAGGCACATGAACTGATAGTTCATGGCTAATTTCAAATGCATATAAGTAGCAAGAAATAATGTGCAGTTTCCCATTTCTTGATTTTTAGTTGAGGAAAGGAAGCTTTGAGCTTGATTTGTTCACCAAATCTATGCTTACTAAGAGGCATATCTTGGTATGAAAATCAAAAGCAAGGAATAATTAAAAGAATGTTCAAGTTTACCAAGATTCAAAAATTAATTTAAGAAACCCCTGGAAGACTTGGTTCTCCTGAAAGTCACTTTCAACACCACTCTTGAGTGTTTTTATTTGGATTCTTTGCACTGATCCTTCTGTCTGCTTTTCCCCCCCCTTGTGTTGTTTCCTACCCAGAAAAGACCCAAAGGACTGCCACTACTCCCAGGAAGCCCTTGCTTCTGGAAAACTACATTTCATGCCTCTAGTCCTTGAGAAATGGTTGTGCATGTTGTTGGTGTTGCTGCTTTGTTGCAAGGAGAAGCCAGTTATATAAACTCAGAGTTGTTTGAGCAGTGGGGCTTAGGTTAGCATTCATTTCTTAGTGCATGCCTACAGGTTTAGTTTGAGAAGTCCCAGTGATGTCAGTGGAATTTATTTCCAAATTTATTTAGGAGTGCAGTCTTCAAAGCAATTGACAGAGGGAAGAATATTTATTGCGAGGTTTGGGGTGGGAAAAGAATGTCTCTGGCATCTGAACTATATTCGGATAGCCTCATTTTATCTGGCACACCTGGTGGAAATGGTTAAAAGAGTCAATCATTGTATGGTAGTGTATGATACCATATCTTGAGTTGGATGTAGTATAGGCCTTAATGGAAGCAGTTTTAATAGCCATACAAAAACAAATGCCTTATAAAAATTCCTTTAATGAGTTTTACAAGGAACACTCTTTGAAGAGGTCATTGCTCTTTTTGGCTAAGGAGATAAGGATGCTGTTTGGCATCCATATGTGATGATTTCACAAATATATGTAACAAGTATCAGATTCAACTTCCCAATGTTTGCATGCGGCATTCTATGAAGAATCGCTTCCACTCCTAAGGAAAAGCTAAGGACTGCAGATGGAGACAGCCTACCACAGCTGAGAGCATGAATAGGCTGTGTTCTCCACCAGTCCAAGTTGGAGAGAAAGTTCACATATCCTGCACTGCTGAATAGAAACTACTTCTGCCTTGTAATGGGGGGCAGAAAGAATCATCAGCTGCTACAAGAAGAGGCAACAGAATATTTGATCTGCAAATGAAGATGGTGTGTAAATAGATAAAGGCTATTAAACTGCTCATTAAAGAAACTACTGAATTGGGTAATTACTCTTCCCTAACCTAGTACACTCTAGATGTGTTGGACTAAAAATCCTATCAGCCTCCATCAGCCTGGCCAGCATTCACAAACACTGAGGGTTGTAGGGTTGCAAGTCCAAAGCCTCTGGAGTGCACCAGATTGGAGAGGGCTGATGTAAATTCTCTTTCCACACAAATGTGAAGTGTGACCCTGTTTTAGGGTAAATGTAGAGCAGACCTGCACAAGTTGTGACCTGCCAAATCAAGCAGCCTGTCAGCTGTAGAATGTGAATTGTCAGGTGATTTAGAACTCTGTTCCATTTCAGATGTGCAACAAGAACTGGGTTTTGATCATCTGGTAGGGCTGTATCAGGTTTGGTTGGTCACAAGTTGAATAAGCCTTAGGATTCTTCTGCCCATTTGTTGCTGGCTATACACAAATGCACCAAAAATGTGTATTCAAGGTGCATCACTTGACACTAGAACAATAATGTTTAGGTAATTATGCCATCTTCCTCACTGCTTCTTGGCAGATATTTGATGTACATGAGGAGAAAAGCAAACTTTTTTGGTGATATTGTAGTGCTTGGATTGCAGAATAGCACTGGCTTTGCCAATTCATATGCTGAATTTGTGGAATAAGACAACCTACCTATTTCATATCTACTGTATAATCTTGGCTTGTTAAGATTGTACCTTTTGGCAAATGTATAAATAAAGTTTCTTTGACAAATAGTGTTGCTTTAAGGCTAAGCCTATAACCTAAGTTACAGTGAAAATGAAGATAAATGCTGGGTGCTGCCTTTTTTCAGTGAAGCAGAGTAAGTAGCTTAACATATTACATAAAAACGTCAGAAAAGCCATGCTGAAAAGAGACAAAGGTCTCTTTAGTTCAGCATTCTGTTCCTAGAGCAAACCGGCAGTTCTTTGGTATTGTCTACATTGGGTCAATTCAGATTTCATCTCTGATGAACCTTTATGCTTTACCTCCATGTTTCTAGCAGTAAAAATGATATAACAATACTTATGTAAATTAGTACAATAATTGTAATTTGATTCTTAGAAATGGCTCATTTTTCCACACCATCTGAACTTTTAGTAATTCTGCGTTATGCCCTGGAGACAAATTGGTGTCCAGAAGAGGTGGACAGCACCAGTACAAGAATGCTAATTTTAAGATTGAGAGCAGAAGGAGAATGATGTTTTCTCTTTAAAAAAGCAAAAGCTGCAATATAAATTAAATAATTTCCACAAACTTAATTCTTGATGGGCTATTTGCTTGCTGATAGAAGATAAACACTCTGCTTTGTAGCTGTTCAATGTACATCTGATGTCCATATACAAGGTTGCTTTTCCTCCTGTACCCTTCATTTTAAATTACTGCACATGTCTTTCTAGATTACACTAGTTTCCATGGTATATGTACACTGCAATACTAGAATATCCCTCTCATACTAGGCAGTGCTTTTCAGCTTATGCATTCATCTTGTGTTTGACATGGAACCTTTTCCATTAGGTTTCAGACCAGAACGAACCAAGAAGGTTGAGACAGAGGCCCCAAGGGGTGTTACAACTTGAATGCTATTCCAAAACCTAAAAATTATATTTAATGTCTAAACCTGGGCAAATTCAGCAGAGCCTTCTCCATTCAAGCATCTTGTTAGGGAACACCTTCCAACAAACGACTCTGCTGCTCTTCATCCAGGCAGAGCTCAAAGCCAGAAATCCTCAATTTAGTACATGGATATGACTCTTCCATTGCTTAAGCTAATCCAGCATCATGTATTCAGGTTAGCAGCAGCTCTCCAGCAGATCCATCTTTGCTACCTGAGAGCCTTGGGAACCAAACCTATAGTCCCCAGGATCACAAGCATATGTCCTATAACCAAGTTTTACTTTCCCATATATCAGCATATCATTTTTCTAGGTCTGTTCAAGCTTAAATACCAAATCTTCCTAAGGATGCTCAATGCAGAACCTTCAACAAACAAAACCAACGTGCTGAGAAACTATGGCATGTTTTTCCAGTGCTTTACACAGGGCTTGTCCCAAGCTGTTTAAAAGAATAACAGCCATTATTTATGGCAAAATAGCAGTAATATGACCTGCCTCTACTTAAGCAAAAGATAAGTTTTCAAGTAGCACATAATTTTTCCAATCAAATACAATGGGCAAGCAACAATTTCCTAAATACATAAATATGCAACACTAATGCCAATACTTTAAGTCTGATAGCACATCATCAACCTTTACCCTGACAGCAAAAGTACCATCTTCCTCTAAGACTTCTAGTTTTTAATGGGCAGAGGTTCTGTATAATAGCCCAGTATTGGCTTGACTGTGATAAAGAATAAGGAGAGCTTTCACTATTGGCTTGTTTGCCTGCCATGTGTTTCTCTGCAAAAAGAAGCAAGCTTATTTACCAGCTATGATTAAAAGTAGCTGCAATTTTCTGCAAATAAGGATTTCTATTGTCCGATAGGTATTTTACTTAATAGGCAAGCTTATGAATTACAAGATCCTTACAGAAGGATAACAGGGTTAGCAGACAAGACTCTTGGTATCTCAAAAACAACAAATAAGTTAGAAGTCCTGCTGTCATGAGTGGGACTTACTTTTAGAAACTGTATTTAGAAGTGCATCTTAAAAGATTGGGGTGGGGGTGGCGGCAATCCTATGCGTGTTTAACACAAAAACGTTTTACAAGTCCCAGCATTTCCCAGCCAGCTTGGTAGCCACGGAGCTGAATGCTCTGTGCCACATGCATGGTATAGTAGAATCAAATGGGTTATTTGTATGTGTGCGTACTGATGCGTGTAAACATCACAAGTACATAATTTTCTGTGTGATTGTACGTGTATATATGAAGCTTTAGGTAGGTGCAAAGTAGACTAACAACAAAGTAACAAGGACATGGATTGCAGTCTCTCTTACTACATCTATATCACTGTAGATATATAAAGAGAGATGAAAATAGTGGGCCCAAAAGATCCTGAAGTTAGAAAACAACAGAGAGAGTCGCTCTGCAACATTCCTTCATATGCGGTGCAGGAAGGCTTACATGCTTGAATACTTGCTTCCATCGTTGAGGTCATTCATTTACTTTGGAGGGTATTTTCTGGGGCCAAGGCAAAGCAAGCCCAGCTCAAATACCTGAACGTGCAAAGGGGCTTGGCCCGGGTTGAGAGGTGCCCGCAGAAGGCGGCAACTCAGCACCACGACGCGCCCTTTTCAGGACAGAAGTTCTCAGAAGTAGCAGCGCAGCCTGACCCACACTAGGCGAGCTGGTGCGAAGGCAGCCTCTGGTGTTCAGCGGTACACACGCTTCTGTGCTCCGCCGTTTATGGCTCAAGGGAAGCCTATCTTTTAGCTGCATGCGCACAGCAGAGACAAACCCGCTTCTCGGCTCTGGTTCTCTTCGGGACAGGATAATATTTTTGGATGTTTTATTCCAATGAGCGGTAGTACTAGGGGAGGAGGAACTCGGAAGTCAGGGTTGAGCTTGCCGGGGGAATTCGGACCGGAAGCGGAAGTGGAGGCGGAGAGTCGGGGTTTGGCCTCTCCGGGCGGAGGAAGCTGCAGGAGTACCGGCGGCGGTCGTGGTGTCGTTGTCGGCGGGCTCCGATGGCTTCCGCCAGTATCGACATCGAGGACGCGACTCAGCACTTGCGGGATATCCTTAAGCTGGACCGGCCGGGCGGTGAGGCCGGGGGGCGGTGGGGCTGGGACCCTGCGGGAGGTGGGGATCTTGGCGGGGTCTCCTTGGAGGCTCATATCCTCCGTCGTGGCCCTTTTCCTTCAGCCCGGGCGAGAACGAGTTCGTGGCGCCGGCTGGAAATGGGGGGTGACGGCTGAGAGGAGAGAAGAGCATTCGCCCAAGCCGCTGCCCTTCAGTTGTGTTCAGTTTCAACTTCAAGTATTTCTAGTTAGCTGAGAGTTGTAGTCCAACACAACTGCAAGGCACCAGCTAAGGGGGGCGGTGGGTAAGACTCGGTGAATGTGGGTTCGGGTCTGATTAGATCATAGGAAGGGGACGCAGTCCTGTGCATGCTTATTTGGGAGTGTGCACCATTGCATCCAACGGAACTTACTTCCTAGTAAATATAGATAAAAATGCCATCTTAAAATTAAAAAGCTTGCACTGAAACTTTTTGCTATAGCTCCTTTTTGGTGGACTCTGATGCATCTGTCTCCCTTCCATCTCCTGCTTGTTTTTGTTTTGGCCTCTGAAAGTCTGCCTTCTCTGTTCTTCCCATTTTCTAAATTCAGCACACAGTTGGTTTGACTTGAACTGTTTGGCAATTTTAGGCCATTTCGTCGTACAACTATCAAAGTCTGTGAGTGGTGTCATTTATCTGCTGATACTTGTCCAGCTGTTTGGAGGCTATGGTGCTCTAGGCAAGATCTGGTTGGCCAGGCTGCTTAGGTTGACACAGAGATTGAACAAGCAGCTATTCATCTCTGTCTGGCTAGTGCTTCTTGGCAACCAATGTATGACTTGGCTTTTCCTTGTTAAGGTTTCTTTGATTTCTTTGTTTGTTTTGTAGTCATATATCTTCTTGTGCCAGAAGTCAGGTTATACATCTCTGTATTACTAGTTCCTGTTGCTGTATTTCTTGAGCTAAAAGGTGGATGAAATGATAGAGTTGTCAGATCCAAATTAGCTCTATTTAGTATTTTTATTTTATTTAACTTAGTTCTTCAAGTTGGAGGACTCACACTGCAACCAATTGGAAGGCACTGAGTTACAATTCCCTCTTTTCTCCTAAAAGGATATTTATGGATGGAAGTAATGGTGGAAAAACACAGAAGGGATGCAACTGAAAGATGATGTCATCTGGACTTCTCCCCTCCCTCCAAAAAACTGTCAGTGGCTCCATAAATTTTTTATCAGGAAGCACCAATTGACCCTAATATAGGGAATATGCAGTCACCCTGAAACAATTTATGAGGTTAAGTATGGAAGTATAAGAATCTGTACTCCTGACAGTTATTAATCACTTGTTTTCAGTATTCTTTTGTCTTAGATTCACTCTCACAAAAAATAAAGTAGCAAGCAAAAGTAAATGTCTGTGATTCATATGTCAAAGCAAGCTCTGGTAATTCCAGGTAGACTGTAGCAGTTATTGCAGCAGAAGAAAATGCAATGCATCTGTTTAGCAGACAGAGCATGATTATTCATTACATAGCTGCCTTTAACTCAGTATAGTTGGTGGAAGCATTTATTCAATTTAGTGATTCCATTATAGGGCCAACATCCTTATATCTAGAATTTAAAAAGATTAATCTAGTTTTCAAGAGAAAAAATAAATGCAGCAATTTTAAAACCTTTAAAGTTGATTTTTTTATTCAACCTGCCTGCTGGGTCTTTCCAAATCATTCAGAATGTAGTAATTGAGGAAGCCAGATCACTGTACTATTCTCCAAGATTCATTGCTGTTGCAAGTGCTACTAAACATTCTGGGATCCTGGAAGACTTTATCCCCAAGGCTCACAAAAAACAGTGATTTTCTGAGAGTACATTTCTTCCAGCTACTAGATAAAGCTACCTACTTTGACTTCCCCCCTAGAGCACCACCTAAAATTAAACTCCTTCTAAAAGCTTTCCTCCTCTCTGTTCCACCTATGAAGAGCCTTTGTATTTCACCTGCAGATGGAGAAACATCCAGAGAGCACCTGGATGTTACATATTTTTTAAAATGGGGAATCATCCATTGCCTATTTCTTTAACACAGCAGTCCCAAGACAGTTCTACATCTGGGCTCTTACCACAGCGTCCCCATACTGCATGGGTAAATTTTTAAAAAATTCCACTGAGACTGAATCTAGAGAAGTCAGGTGAACCCAGAGGGTGGCTCATTAAACCTTGATCATGTCTTTGTGGGGAGGGAAAAGAACTTTCCCCATCTGAGCTGCTGCAGAGCATGAGAACTGACCTTGCCTTGCACTTGTGTAAAGTGGTAGCGGCGGCGGCATGAATTGCTTTTTCATACAGGGCTGGCAGGTTGTGGCCTCCGTATGTTCTGACATATGCTGGCAAGAACTGATGGAGTTGTAAGCCTCCAAAACAAAACAAAACAACCCCCTGGAATTCCACAAGTTGCCCATCCTCTTTTAGCAGTTTTAATTATTGCACAGTCTCTGACTTCTTTAACCAGGGAAATTGCCATGCTGATTCATGCTTTTGTAACCTTTCCTATTGTAACATTCTCTACAGAGGGGTTGAAAAATGATTTGGCACTTGCAGCTAGTGCAGAATACTATGATTTGCCTCCTGTTGAATGTGGGGAGGCAAGGACATGTCCAGTCAGCTTGGAGGCAGCTAAATGGTTGGCTGAGAGCTTCCAAGCCCATTTGAAGGTCCTGGTTCTTGCCTTTGTGGCCTGGGAACATCTTTCCCTGAATGAGGTCAGAAATTGTGCGTTCTGGAAGGGTTGTAAATCTCAGCAATTTCTTTACTGGTAGACTGAACTATTAATTGGTATATGTTTATTTTCCAAATACACTGAGGTTTCAGATAAATCAGTCTGAGATTAGGTAAAAGAGGTATACGCATTTCCTGAACTTCCTCATCTCCAAGTCTGGCAAAAGGTCTCTAAAGCTATGGAAAGTTGAAAACAGGCAAGAGTGCATTTGAAGCCCTACTTGGAACTAGTTCCTGAAATATGTACTTTGTTGTTATGTGCTGTCAAGCCATCTCTGACCTAAGGAATAATAAAAGCCTTCCTAAATGTCTTATCAGTAGCAGCCCTGCTAAGGCTGTAGTGTCCTTTATGTGTTCAGTCCATCTCATATGTACTAGAGTAGAACCAGTAATGACACAGTAATTTCAAAAGACCACAGCTTGTTCATTCAGAATTATATTCACTGTGTTAAATGAAACTTCTCTTCTCCACTCATTTCTTCCCTACTTAGTGGGAGTTCTTGGGTCAAGCTGTGCGACTGTTCTAGGGTGTGTTCAGATGTGACAGGTCAACCAAAATAAAGCATCCTTCCCAGTATCTTTGCCAAAGCACTGTTTCCCCAACCACAGGTGATCTACCTGGCCAGTGCAAAAGTGGGTGAGAAAAGCTGAAGTTAAGTGAGCAGTTTTCTGTGTTTGAAATCTTTATAAATTAGAGGCACTGCAGGGAATAGCAGTAAGTTTATCTTAACATTTTGAAATTGACCTATTACTTCAGTTGGAGACACTGTATACTCCCCATTGAGCATGTTATGCTGAGGTAAACTACAACTTTTTTGCCTTTGAGAACTTCATTAATAGCATAAGCCATGGACGAGACACATTAGTGTTTGAGGAAATCATGCTATCTTACACCACCAGGTTAAAAACAGCTGCTTATCCCGTGCCTGTAGCAGAGACCATGTGAGCAGTGGGCCGTGAGTGCTGGTGTTTCCTATCTTAAGCTCATCCAGCTCAGTTTTGCTGGGTGGAGATGTTTGGTTGGTAGTGTGCCCAGTTCTTGAGCAAAGGCTCTGCTGGAGAGTCTCAACCTTTACTTTTTCTCTCCAGGAATTAATTATCATGTACAATGCATTTCTAACTCTGGCTTGTTTCTGGGTTTGGATATCATAAAGAACAACCCAGGTTCACAATGTCCTTGGGTTCTTCAGTGTGCCAGAAGCAGGCAAGCAGTCAAGAGCCAGTTCACATGCTCCCAAACAGTGTTCCGTTATGTGAACTGGGTCATGATCTTGCAATTAACTTTTAAAACATCAGTGGGCAAAGCAGTATAATACCTGATTATTCACACTTACACACTCCTTTGGTGCCAGTGTAACCCTGTAAGTAGCACTTTAACTCATCCAGCCATAAGCCATTTATCCTGAGTGGGATGACTATGTTTCCTATTATTCATGGAAATTAATGTATTTTTTTCTGGAAAAGTAAAACAGGATTACTATACCTGACTTCTCTTTTAGTACTGAAAAGCTGGAACCTGAACCTTAACCTGATTTAGCAGCAAGGGGTTAGCAATCAGTATTACATTTCAACCCTGTAAATCTTTTGTAACTGTTTTCATTATGCTAATTAAACTTCTAGTGACTTCTGCCATGCAAACTAAAGAGCTTTAGTTTAACTCATTCAAAAGAAGGTTTTAAGACCAATTCTTTAGTCACAGTTGCCAACTGAGATTGCTGCTTTCTCAGTTGTTTATAAAATCTGTTGGGCTTTTTTTGGTGATAATTCCACATATAGATAAGCAACGTGGATACTTATTATTGTCTTGGATTCTCTCCCTCCAGGCCCAATTTGTCCTCAGCATAAATAAGCAAATAGAATGACATTACTTGCTTGAGTTTGACCTTGGAATAAAGAAGCGCATGCTTTATTTCTCTTGCTTCCTCTGACATTCAACTTCAAAAGCTTTATCAGAGAGGTTTGCCTGGCGCCAACGCTTTTTCCTTTCGGCGCCAGGTGAAAAACTTTTTATTTTCCTCTATTCTAATTGTTAATTGTTAATCGTCTTAATTTGTGGTTTTATATTTATTATTGGATGATGTGCTACTTTTATCTCTTTATCCTATTTTATTGGTGTTCTTGTAAACCATCCTGAAACCATCCTGATGGGATGGTATACAAAAGTTTTAAATAAATACATACATAAAAAATACCACCTGAAACCTCTCTTGTAATGGAGAGAACAGCCAGCGATTAAGGTTGCATTCCCCAACCTAGACCCCTCTAGATGTATTCACTATACTTTTCATCATCCCCATGGTGTCTGAGGAAGTTGGGAGTTGTAGTCTAGTGTATCTGGAGGGTGGGTTCTGGGTTGGGAAAGACTTCTAGAGCAAAGTGGGAAAAGGTAGAATGAAATCTGCTGGTTAATTTGCTGGTAATAATTAGGCAAGAGTTTTTATTTCCCAGTGGTTTAAAAGCAACAGTAACAAAGCACATTCCCTACCCTTCTAAATTTGGTTGCTGAAATCAAGAAAGTTCATGGGATGGGAGGAAACACAGTAGTATATTTATTTATCTGTGAAAGAATTTTTGTGCTAGTCCTGGTTTTGGTACTGGAAACAAGTTCCTGGGTGGGACATATATCTGGTGCCACTTTGTTCTTCAGTTCTGTGTCTTTGGGTGGTAGATTTTAGGGTCTAGTAGAAAACAAAATAGAAATAAACAAAAACAAGCCTGAAGTCTGACTAGCCCTGCTCAAGATTAACTACTTTTTGGTAGCTGTTTTAGTAGAAGCACAAAGCAAAATACTTTCTTGGGCCTAACGAAGGGAGCCTTACATTCACCTGAATGAAATCACTCTTTCTCATGTTACTATCTTCTCATCTGATGGGGGACTATTTGACTCAAAAGTACATGGCTGCTTTACAAGGTTTACAAGGTGCCTCCCTTTGTTGCCTCTCTCATTCAGGTTCAGTGAATGAAAACCAGAGAGCATCCAGTTCATACAATGGAGACCTAAATGGTTTGCTGGTTCCAGATCCCATAGCCTCTGGAGACGGTGTTTCCTTGGCCAAGCCAGTCCCTCAGACAGTTCCCCTGGGAGCATTACAAGAGAAGCAAGTCATGTAGGTATTTTGATGGTACAGAGGGATGGGTGTGGGAGAGGGAGGTGAAAGAGTCAAGATGCATTTGACATGACTGTGCTGAAGTAAACTTGGTGGGAGCAATTTCAGCAAAATATTCTGTCCTGCAAAGATTCAAAATTCCTTGTGACTGTTTCAGGGTTCTTGAACATAAGGTTATTTAAGGCTTTGGTTCGTTGGAAGTTCGAGTTTAAGCTGGAGGACTACCTTGCGGATGCGGGATATTTTGTCCCTCAGTTTAGTAGAAGCGCTTGTTTAGTCTATAGAGTCCTGATCAAGGTTGAAGCTTCAACTTATTGGTTCATATTGTCCTCTGTCTTGACATCCTTGCATAACAGGAAGGTTTTGATCAAAGATGGGCTACCATAAAGTTGCCACAAAGATGAAGAGTAAAATGGCAGCATTACCATAGCAGGCAAAGCTGTTTGACTGGGAGCCATTACTGAGTCACAGCCCTGGCTCTTTCAACTGTTGATAGCAAAAACTATTCATCCTTCATGTTTTACTTTGACATTTCCCCCCATCTTTTCTACCCTCCCTTAGTTGCCTCTCTGGAGATGACAGCTCCACCTGTATGGTGATAACTGCTAAAGACGTTGAGATAGTAGCCAGCAGCGACTCCAGCATCACCAGTAAAGCCAGAGGAAGCAACAAGGTAAAAGTGGTGGGGGGAGTCCAACTGGACTGTGTACTAAATAGTCTTCCCCAACCAGGTGCTGTCTGGACATGTTGCAGTCTTGGAAGCTGAAGTCCTAATACTTGGAGATCAACTTTCTATCCAACCTTAGGCTAGCGGACTTGGGAAGCGTAGAAAGGGGTGCAGCTGTGTTTGAACTCCAGTGTCACCAGCATGTGAAGTAGATGCTCCACTTCTAAACTGTATCTCCTTTACTAAGGCAACTCCAGGGTGGAATGCACTTTCATTTTCACAAAGGGTGCTTTAGAGCTACAGCTAATTCCCACCCCACCCCCCGCAGCTTCAGTTTAGGTCCCACCCCCAGTTGTACAGTGCAAACCATTCTCAGGCCTTTCCCTCAGGAACATCTTCTCAACATGTCCAAAGGGAAACAGTAGGAAATTTATTTATTTATTTATTTATTTATTTATTTATTTATTTATTTATTTATTTATTTATTTATTTCATTTTTCTACTACCCGGCAGCCAAAGGCTCTCTGGAATGCATCAAAGGAATTCTTCCTCTGGATCTTCAGATAAAACCAAACTAAATGTAAATGCCCATGAGAGCATAGCAGTGAAAAATAGTGTTAGCATTGTAGCATCTACTAAATGATTGTCATCTAAGTTGATGGAGTTGATGCAATGCCTCCAGTTTAGTCCAACTTTATGCACTTTTTGGGTCATTGTTCAATTCTTTAATTTTACCAGTGTCTCTTTAAAATCACTTTTTTCATTTCTGGCATTTTGTTAATCCAATAGTATACAGTAATATTTTTAGATGCTATCTGCCAGTTATTTAATTCCCATAAATCATAAGGGACTAAATTTTTAAGGGACAAAAGTTATGTTAATCAACTCTATTTAAGTCTCCACATCTAGCGCTCTGTGCTTCTCCCCCTCCCAGTTCAATTCCTTCATCCCAAGTAGGTTTGCCCTACATAGACATTCCCTTTGTTGCACATTCAATTGCAATAATATTGATTTGACAAAACAAAGCTGCTCAGGTCTGTTTCTTGATCACCCACAGGTGGCAAGCCATGACCCACACAATTTTATTTTATTTATTTATTTTTCGATTTATATCCTGACTTCGGCAAGGGGCGGCATAGAAATGTTTAATAATAATAATAATAATAATAATAATAATAATGGGCTCAAGGCAGCTTACATCATTCTCCTCCTCCTTCATATCCCCACAACAACAACCCTGTGAGGTAGGTTGGGCTGAGAGTCTGTGACTGGCCCAGAGTCACCCAGTTGGCTCCATGGCTGAGCAGGGACTAGTACCCAGATCTCCTGAGTCCCAGTCCCATGCTCTTAACCACTACGCCACACTGGCTCACAAACACAAAGAGCCACATGTGGATGCCGAGTCTCAGTTTGGCCACCCCTGTTATGAACAAAGGAAGCTTTAAAAAAAAAAAAACCCTTGCAGATGCCCTCAGACACTAGCTTGGAGACTCCTTCAGAGGTGCCACTGGAGTTGCCTGTGGGTGTTGTGTCAGGGATCCCTGTGTTAGCCGGTTCCCCTCTCTTTACTCCCTGCTTAGCACTACCTCCCCTTCAGAGCATGTTTTGATAGTTTCATAGCTGCTGAGTAATAAGTGCAGTGCTCCTCTTTGGTAAACATTGAATTTGATTTTGGCCCTCAGCTGCTCTTTTCATCCCATTTTTTCACTCAGGTGAAAATCCAGCCCGTGGCCAGGTATGACTGGGAGCAGAAGTATTACTATGGTAACCTGATAGCTGTGTCAAATGCCTACTTGGCATATGCCATTAGAGGTGAGACATCTTTCCACCTGCTTACTGAACAACTTTATCTGTTGGGTCAGAGTTTTGATTGCACTTGTACTGACTGTGTATTAGGCTGATTTTTTCACTGTGTAGAGAGAACTTTGGCTTTGCTTTGGCCATTGTGACCAATATTTTCTTGCTGCTTCCTGACAGGTGCCAACAATGGCTCTGCCATGGTGAGGGTCCTGAGCGTCAGCACCGCCGAGCGGAACCTGCTGAAAGGCTTTACTGGTGGTGTGGCTGACCTGGCGTTTGCTCACCTCAACTCCAACCAACTAGCCTGCTTGGATGAATCGGGCAACCTCTTTGTCTGGCGTCTGGCCATGGAGAATGGAAAAATCCAGTATCTTACCTCTCAGAATTGTACTGTGTGGGAGAGAACTCTAGTGTGGGTAGAGCTAGAGCTGAACATAGATTAGGATTTCCTGGTACACCTTTGAGTACATTTCAGTAGATCAATGAGGGCTTCTGACTTTCACTTGTCTAACAAACTGTAGCAACTAAAAAGTCTTGCCAACATTATATTCTTGAAAAGCGACCCTTGCAGGGTACCTGGGACTGTATTTTTCTGTGAAAGATTAGCGCGCATCCTTCAGATAGAGATCATAAATGTCTGGGCTGTGCTTATCTTCATTGAGCACCCTTTTCCTTAATGTATGCTTGTCTGAGGCACTACTTTGAACTTGCTGTAGTTGCTACATCTCCAGGTCCTAATAAAAAAAACCCAAATGTATCCCGTAAGTCTGAAGCCTGCCTAGACAGTGGCCTAGTCAGTGTTGTTTAGGAGAAAGAAGAATTGACATATTGGCTATGAGAAGGAGACACTGTCTTGTTTCGGAGGACAAGCAATCTTACTAGTATCTTAATTCTGGCAGCCAGAATGTGGACATTGCATATGCTTTTCTCACATAAGTCATTTGGTCTACCAGCAAGACCCTAAATCTCTGCACGCTTTTTCAAACATATCCATTTTGGATTAATTAACCATGGCTCATTGAACTAAGAATAAGCCTTGGGCTTCTGCACCAGCTTCAGCACTGCTATCCTAACAGACGAAGCCCAGCAAATGGGCATGTGTGGCTGAAACTTGAGCCTACTGCTCACTCTTGGCTTAACAGGCAAAGTCTGTTATGTCTCAGCAAGCTCAGACAAAGATGTATTCTTACTCATATTAGGGATTTGCACCACTTTGCACCATGATTGCACCAATTTGTGTCTTCCTATTAACTGTATTGCTGTTGACATGCAAGCTTATATCCCTGCAATCTGGCCTTTTTATGCTGATCTAAGAACAAAGTCAATATTGCAGATTTCCAGTGCTACAGTATGTTCCAGTTATTAAACAGTAGGTGGTACAATATGTTTCAGTTATTAAACAGTGGGTTTAATAACTGAAACGTTTCACAGCCTAGGAGAAAAGTGTGTATATCAAAAGAGAGATACCGGAGGGGTTCCAAGTAGATGCTATTTTTATAATTTTTGATAGGAAAAATCATCATTGTTTAGAGTTCAGGGGGCATGCTCTAAGTTGAAGCTATTCTTTTCCTCATCTTTGTTGTAAGGTGAGAAATGGGTGCTGACTGAAGACAAATTCTGGAGCTTACAGTGTGTGGAGTCAGACTGAATCGCAGGGCTTACAGCATTCATTTTTAAGAACCTCCTAGGCCTGTCTCCTAACCCTAGACTCTTCATTGGAGTCAAGCAAAAGCAAGTTCTTTGCATTCATTTCCAACATAATAGAAAAGTGAGAAAAAAGATCCTGTTTATGTTTCTTGGAGGTTTTGTGAAGGAAAATCTGTAGCATTTCCTTAACTTAGTGATCAGAGAAGAGATCTTGGTGAATATCAAGCGACCTGAAGGAACTCCTCTGAACAGCTTCCGAAGGATCATATGGTGTCCCTTTATTCCTGATGAGAATGATGACAACTGTGAGGAAGGCAGTCAGACTCTGGCACTGTTGCACGAGGACAGGGTAAATGGCTTTGATTTAGTTTTTGTCCTGAAGTTTTAGGATCCTGAGAAGAGTAAGTATAATAGACATGTAGGATTTTTAAAAAATATATCAATGTCCAGATATGTTAAAACGTGAAGATTGCATTTCTGTTGACTGGAGATCTGTTTTTAAAGTTCAGTGTGTCTTGCATGTTGTACCTCTACACCCAGAGAAATGTCCCCGGGTTCAATGTGTGGAATTGCAGTTATGCCCTTTAACCTCTAGGACTGCTTAGCACAGAAAACGGGCAAAGGAGAATGGCTCATTTGAGACATGAGAGACATGTAGAAAATTAGGCGCTGTAGGAAAACACGGAGAGAAGTTTTGGAATCATTGCATTAGCCTGATCCATGAGAGATTCAGGACAGATGAAAGTAAGCACTTCACATAGCACCTGGTTAAACTGTGGCACTCACTTCCCCAGGGTGTAGGGATGGCCACTAATTTGGACAGCTTTGCAGGGGATTAGACAATTAGAGGATGATTAGAGGATGAGGCCAGCAGCGGCTACTAGTCCTGCCAGCAGCATACTGCCTCCGGTAGACAATATACCTGTGTGTAGCAGCTGCTGAGGAGCATGGGTTGGAGGGTGCCTGTTGCACTCATATCCAGCTTGTGGGTTTCCTGTGGGAAGTTGGTTGGCCACTGGGGGAACAGAATGTTGGATGGAATGGATCCAGCATAATCCCTCTTATATTCTAAATCAGGTTGTATGAGAAGTTTGTTTTATGATGGAAGCCTTCTTAGGTGCTCCAAGTGTAAATAAGAGAAAAACAAGCCATAGATATACATACTTGGGGCACAGCTGTGGATTCTCTAGGATGTGATATGTATGAGATACGTTAATGAGCAAATACAGCATTACATTTGGCTGGGTTGTGAAGAATAAACACAGGAAATGGTGTAGAATTGATGGGAGGACACAGAATGTAGAGCAAGCTAGTAACTGGAGTGGTGGGTTGCTTAAGTCCAGGTCATGCTTTTGAGTGCTGTTTGTGTGTTGCCTACCTCTCTTCGTTTTGCAGGCAGAAGTCTGGGACCTAGATATAATCCAAGCTAAACACAGCTCCTGGCCAGTAGAAGTGACCAACATCAAGGAGGGCTTCATTGTGGTGAAAGGTCACACCACGGTAGGAATTCTGCTGCTGTCTTGGCGTAGGAGCAGCTGCCTTCTTGTCATTTCTGCTATGTATGTTTTAGTTCCTTTAACTCCCATTTTCAGAAGAAACCTGTGGCTGTATCCACTTAGCCAGTGAGGCTTGTGGTAAGATCTCCTGAATAAGTGGTTTGTTTGCAGATAATGACCATCCAGGTGGTGGTGTTGCTTTGTGCTGTCAAGTTGTCTCTGATTTATGGTGACCCAATGAGTGAAAACATTTCAAAATGTGCTGCCTGTGACAGCTCCATTCAGCAGTCCCAAGCTCAAAGCTGTGGCTTTACTTACGGATTTATTCCAGCTCATGTTTGGTCTTCCCTTTCATCTTCTGCCCTAGCATGATGGCCTTCTCCAGGCAGCCTCACCTTTTCATGATGTGCTCAAAGTAAGACAACCTCAGTTTTTAAATTTTTGCTTCTAGGGAAAGCTCTGACTTGATTTGACTTAGGACCCACTTATTTGTCTTTCTGTGGGTCCAGGGTATTCACAAAGCTCTCCTTCAGCACTGTATTTCAAACACATACATTTTCTTCCTTTCAGCTTTCTTCACTGTCCAACTTCCACACCCATACATTGTGATTGGGAATACAATAGTTTGGATGTTATTGACCTTGGTCTCCGTTATTATACTTGAGATAATCCAGGTATTCAGGCTTAATAAACCACAATATGAAAGAGTTGGTATGCTACTGCATGCAGCCCATTCATTCTTTCTCTTGAACAAGGAGGTAAATAAACCATGAAGGGGAAGGTTTTGCGTAACATCTGAACCCAAGGTTGTTTGGGTTAAGTGCACCCAAGCAAGACTGGATTTTTGAAACAGTCTTAAGCCATGACTTGCTGTTGGTCCATGATCCTGACTCATTTGGGTGTTGTTAAGCATTGGATGCTGTTGACCTTCTTTTACAGCTGTCACAATCATCATGCCCAGTGAATTTATAAGTTCAGCGTTTTGTAGTAACAGAAAACTCATAGCAGGAAATACTCAGTTACTTTTGTACATGGTTATCTTGACCTATACTTCCTTTTAGGACATCTGGTATCAAAACATCTGTCTTTAGGTTTTTGTTTTGTTTTTTTACAAATTCTCACCTTTCTGACAGAGGCTTATTTTATATTTTTGACTCTCTTCTCTCTCTCTGATAGAACCTTAAGTAACTGACCCTTGTTGTTTGGTCATCAGGAAAAATTTATGTTCTATACAGGCAGAAGTAAAGATGGCATCTTCATCTTGCTTGTAGCTAAACCATATGGTTCTGAGACTAGAAATCCAAGTCAAGGAATCCAGTTTGGAGGTGGGAATCCATGGATTCTCTTGGCTTGGCTCCTTGAAATCCTACTCTCTCTCCATCCTCTGCCAGGCTTGCCGTGTCTTTGCCAAGCGTACATTTGGACAAATACCACTTGTGAAGTTGTCATGTGCTGCGCTGCTGCACAAGGGGGTTCTCGCATACATATTGCTTGAGGGGGTGGGTTGTGCTGATGCCACAGTGCTGCACAAGGGAGGTTTTGTCGCGTACATATACTTTCCGCGTATATGGTTTTTATCAGCTTCTGGAGCTGTTTGCGTTATGTTGGTGAACTCTTATTACAACTAAAAAAAGTCACTTCTTTGCAACCTGACCCAGGGCACCTAAATATGTAAGAATGGGAATTGGGGTGGTGGAGGAAGAAGTTCGCAGGAATTACGGAGGATGCTGTGCAGGTGCCCATGGAGTGTCAGTTGGTGCCAATCTTGGGTGGCAGGTTTGTACCCCTTGCTTTTGCTGTGACAGGGATTACATAGTGCAATGGTGGACCTGAAATTTAGTGCAAAGGCACTCACATTCCCAAGTATTTGTGGGCTTAATTTTAGCTTGGCCCACTTCCTATATCAGTGCATGGTAAGAAGTCCTGCAAGTAGAAGAGAGCTGGGTCCCAGAGGGCTCAGCACACCCTAGCTGTGACAGTACCTTTTCCCTAAGACCTTTCTGTTAATTTCCCAGTGTCCCCAAGCTGGAATAATTTTATGAAGGCATGCCAAGACCTTAGGGACTTCAGCTTGTTCGGAAGAACTGCAGAAATAATTGCTTTGAAACTTCCCCAATTATTTTGTAGATAAGACCTGCCTTTATAGTGTAACTGAAGCAGTTTGTCTGTGTTCTGAGGAGGTGGGTGGAAAACGTTATACAATCCAGCACAGGAGGCATTGCCATTCATTCCCAGCCTGAGGAGAGAAATTGACACATTGCTTGCCCAGGCTCCTGTAGAAGCCCGTGGAGCATCGTCTGACCCATGTAGGATACCAACAGGCCAAGAGGGGAGGAGAATACACTTTCTTTCGCTTGTTCTGCAACTACATTTCATCTTTGTACAATAAACTGTATATCATCTTGACACAGTTGGTGTAATTTCTTCCTTAAGTGAGGTGCCTTGGCTGGTCCAGACCCCTCAGGTTAAAACACCAAGTAAGGGTCTAAAACTGACAGCATAATGGTAGCAGCTGTGTCCAAGATCATGATGGAGAATGTTAGCAGAACCCAGATGGGGAAAATAAAAGGGAATATTTCTCATTTGTTTCTCAAATTAACCTTTTGAACACACAAGACAGTGAAATCATGTACTTCAGGTGGTCCAAATTAACAGCACTATGTTGCCTCCGTTGTAAAAGCAGACCAATCAATGTTTGAAAAAATAGAATTGTACTGTTCCCAGTCTGAGTTGACCTTAATTGTCTATCACTTCAGATGACTTTCTCCATTACAATAAAGGTTTTATATTTCAGTGAAGTTGTCTTGCTCAGCCTAAGATAATTTCCTCTGTGCTCATTTCCTGATGCCATCTAGCGCCTGAGCGAGGGAGCCCTTTCTCCTGACGGAAGTGTCTTGGCCACAGCAAGCCATGATGGCTATGTCAAATTCTGGCAGATTTACATCGAAGGGCAGGACGAGCCAAGGTAACTTCAGAAGCGGAGAGAGGATAAGTTTGGGTCTTCAGTTGGCATGCCTAAAGCTTTCATTAGGCTGCCAGCCCTTTCATTTCTGCCCCTGTGAAACAAGAAGCTTGCTTGTCATTGTTTCTTTTTTTTTCCTACTTAGGTGCCTCCACGAATGGAAGCCCCATGATGGCCGACCTCTTTCCTGTTTGCTTTTCTGCGACAACCATAAAAAGCAAGATCCAGAGTAAGGGCACAAAATCTGCCACCTAGTGACTGAAGTTGAAGCTGAGGGCTTCAAACTCATGACACATTTTTATCAATTCAAGTTATTCATCTAAAAAGACCAACAACCTTGAGGCGCAGACCTGTAGGATCCCCTTAGTATGCTCGTCAAGCTCCAGGTGTCCAGGCTCCATGAACTTGGTACTGTGGTGCTGATAGGTATATGTAGATAATAAGGTTTTTTTATGTATGATAAATGCAATTGATTTTCCTGGTTCTGCATATGTTGCCTATTTTATAACTGATCATTAGTAAGTTTGCAAAATTAAAAAATGAAAGTTTGAGAAATCACATTCATCTGCATATTAGCACATGGCTTTTATTTTGAAATGCCACTTCAAGAGTACTCCTGTCCATCATTTTTAGCAGATTTTGGTTATGTCGATCAGCTAGGCTGTAATTACTGAGGAAAGGCATCTTGTGCATATAGAGCAGGAGTGCACAAGGTGTGGCCCATAGGCTGCGTGACTCCTCTGCTGCCCACCCAGTTGTAAAAAGAACAAGATTTAAAAGCTATCATTCATATTCATTCATTCAACACTGCAGAGTGAGAGGTACAGCCTGTCCGGTCTGTTGGCGGGGTCCAGTAGGAGAACAAAAATCCCCCCAGAGTTCCTGGAGTTGTACATCCTAGTATGTGTTTAGACAGAGAGAGAGAGGGAGCCACTAACATTGCGCTACAAAATGTGCCAGTTAGAATTCTTAGAGCGTGAACAAAAAGCCATTCCCAGTTTTTGGAAGCTCAATTACCTCCTCCTTTCTGCAGAGTTCCCTTTTGGAGGTTTCTCATCACAGGAGCAGATCAGAATCGAGAGCTGAAAATGTGGTGCACGGTCTCATGGACTTGTCTGCAGACTGTCCGGTGTGTATTGTCCGGTTTTCATTTCTGTGGTGTATGTGGTGTTAATGTGTGACCAGGGTGGGGGTGGGGGTTAGGGTGCCTCAACAGATGGAGTTGGCTTCGTGCTCAGGGAGGGTTTTTTTTTTTTAATTTATATCCTGCCCTTTTCCTACAAAGGGCTCAAGGCAGCTTACATCATTCTCCTCCATCTTATCCCCACAACAACCCTGTGAGGTAGGTTGGGCTGAGAGTCTGTGACTGGCCCAGAGTCACCCAGTTGGCTCCATGGCTGAGCGAGGACTCGAACCCAGGTCGTCTGAGTCCCAGTCCCATGCTCTAACCACGACACCACACTGGCTCTCCAGTGGTTCACATTGCTTGTGGGCCAGATGGTGGGAATGCCAGACATTATTTAATTGGTTCACTCATTTGACTTGATGATGGACCATGGGGCTAAGAAAGTCACCCCTCTGCCCTTCTGCCCTGTGAAACTTTCCCACAGTTTCTCCTCCTGAACCAGAGGCTGTGTGCTTCTCGCCAGCCACTTGGAGTATCACGAAGCTTGTTAATATTGGCATTTCAGCTAAGCATTCTGATGCCACCTCTTCTTCCAGTTTTGATCCAGAGTCTAATGTGTCCACCTTGGAAGGCTGTTATTTGGGGAGAAATGTGCCCTGTCCCCACATTACTGAGGTCATGCATACAAAGAAAGCATTTTGAATGCTCAAATGCGATTGAAATGCCAGATATTATCCGGGTTTGATTACAGCCATACATCAGTAGGCCTGGAGTTGGTTTTTGTTTCTAAACAGAAAAACACATTTCAGAATGTCCTGTGCCTATGCCAGATTCTGACGCAGAAATACATGGCCTTGTTTAAGGCACGTGCTCCACTGCGTGTGTCTATAAAGCAGGGGGTTAGACCTAATGGCCCTCTGGCCACTTCTAACTCCAGTAGTCTGTGAATCATCTGGAAAAGGCTACTTCTAAATTGCAGAGTTTCAAGCCATTGCCTATCAATCCTGAACTGCCATCCTGCTGCTTCAGCTCGTACTTCCCCTTCATCAGGCAGATCATAGATTTTCGTTTGGCAAAAGATTGAGCCATAGTAGGAATCAAGCACTTCAGCCTTTTCCCTAAAGAAAACATCTCTATGCAGAATCTCTTTGTGAGTTTGCATTCCCACCACATGTGTTTAACATCTCCTCTCTGATCACAGCTTTTCCAGGATTGGGGACTGATCCCCTTGAAAATAGCTGCTATTTGGTGACCATCTGTAATGAATTCCTCTGATAATCTTCAGTATGCACAGGCTCATTCTCTGTTGGGAACTCTGCAAAGGAGAGGACCCCGATTGCATGCTGGTTCTGTTCAGCTACTGGACTTCAGTTGGGCACCAGAACAGTGGGCTTGAACCTATTTTTCCTCCCTTTTGCACATTTACTGAATTTCTGAGAAAAGGCATGCTTATGGACATTTTGGTAATGATGTAGTTTTTAAAATGCACTTCAAAAACTAGAAAGAAAGGTGAATAAACTCTATTTTTACCTTCTCACTGTTACAATTCCAGATTTTCACCAGATATATTCAGCTCCATGAGTGTCCTTCCTAGTCTAAAAGCTGGCCTGGATCTCTCAGCTGAGTACTTGATTTTGAGTGACGTGCAGAGAAAGGTAAGCGATTGTAGCTGCGGAGTAGTTGGGTGCAGAAGGAAAGGGCATCTTGTTAGAAGCTGGCAGCAGCTGCCTCATTAAAGTTCTTTGGGTTTTGGTTTGTCTGGACTAGGCCATAAGAGACACATCTTATACTGGATTTAAACTTTTTTAAAAGTTCTCATTTTAAGAAAAGAGTGTGAACCAGAGATTAATTCAGTACTGCTTCTCATCTGGCCCAAGTTGAGAGAAGAGGCTATGTTTCTTCTGGTCTTTTGTGCATGCACCTCCTACTATGAGAACGCCTTGCAGGTTGTATTGCTACAGGATGTCTTTCTGGTGCCCTTCTCCCAGGTCTTGTATGTGATGGAACTCGTGCAGAACCAAGAGGAGGGCAAAGCCTATTTCAGCTCCATCTCCGAATTCCTGTTGACCCACCCAGTCCTGAGTTTTGGCATCCAGGTAGTCAGCCGCTGCCGGCTGAGACACACAGAGGTCCTGCCAGCAGAGGAGGAGAGTGACAGCTTGACTGCAGGTATGAAGCAAAGAAGCTCCTTTCCTACGATTAGGGCAAAGGAGTTGTCCCAGGTAATTAGCTTTACTTTCCCCAGTGGTTGCACAAGCACCACCTCTTCAGTCAAGACTTCTTGGCCCCAGCCGTAGTGAAATTCCTTCCTTCCATCCGTCCGTCCTTCCTTCCTTCCTTCCTTCCTTCCTTCCTTCCTTCCTTCCTTCCACAAAAACCATTATTTGCAAAGCATGTCTATGGTTGGCCATTATGATTTGTGTTCAGGCTACTAACCAAACTATGGAACTACCATTTGGAGCTGGCTTGTAACTGAAATTTGGAGCGGTATCCAAATTGACAAAGCAATGACTTTAGTCTTTTCTTTGCCATGTGAAGCTGCTGAAACTGATCTGGATAGGGAGCATGAAAGCTCAGTCGACTCTCAAGCGGTTCCTGATGTCTTTGCCCAGCTGACTGTCTGCTCCCTGCCCCGCTCCTATACTCGTAGTGCTCCCTCTCCATGCCTCTCTGAGATTAACATGCTTTCCAGTGTGAGAATCATTTAAGGCCGAAACAGAGGAGAACCCCAGGTGAGCTAGTAGCAGAATGATCAGATCAGCACAGGCAAGATCAGGCCGGAGATTTCTCAAGAAGCCAGCCATCCACAGCACCACTTGCTTGGGGGAGCTGCCCAGGAGCAAAAGACAGCACAAAGGTTTTCACACTGTCAGGAGTAGGCCAAGCCAAAGCATTTGGGTGGGACTTTTTGGGAAGCGAGTGAAAAAATTATTTGCTATTCTGAAAACAAAGAGAGATTGTGAGGCGCTCCTAAAGGACCTCTCCAGCCTGAGGGAATGGGCCTCAAACTGGCAGTGAGGTTCAACATTATGTTAATGTGAAGTGGCCCTCAATGTGGCAGAAGATCCCAGCTTTCCAAGTAAAAGCTGATGAGATCTGCGATGATGGTGCCAGACAAGGAACAGCTCTTGGGTCAAGGTTAGACAGCTCGGTGAAAATGTTGGCCTAGTGCAGTGATGGCGAACTTACGGCACGTGTGGCCAAAGGGGCACGCAGAGCCCTCTCTGTCGTCACCCCAGCAGCCATGCACATATTCGGAAAGATCAAGGACACCAGGCAATGACTGGCAGTGACAGGCAGCCACTCATTAGTCACGACTCTCCGAGCTTTCGCATGGCCGGTCAGTGAGCTGCCAGGGATTTGCATGGACTGTGATTTTAGTGGGATGCAGGTGGCACAGTGGTTTAAACTGCTGGGCTAGTCGATCGAAAGGTTGCCAGTTCATTGTGATTTTAGCAGAAGGTAGGAAAGGTACGAAATACACTCAGATTCCTTTTTCAGGGCCGGCCAAAAGCTGGTGATCAGTGGAACGTTGCCCCCTTGTGCTGGTGGCCAGCAAATTCAGTTTTTATGGCAGTGTTAGCACTTGATTAAGTGGGTTCTGAGTTGCAGTTTGGGCACTCGGTCTCTAAAAGGTTCAGCATCACTGGCCTAGTGTGTGGTGCTGTGAAAAAGGCAAGTCCTGTGTCAGGCAGAAATGGGAAAGAACTGAAAACAAAATTGCCTGTATCATACTGACTTTACAGAAATCTGTGGCATTTCTCAGAATATGTACAGTTCTGGTCACTGCACCTAAACAAACACTGTAGAGTTGGAAATAGCACAGAAAAGGGCGGAAGCAACTCCACGTAAGGAAAGGCTACCCAGCTGAAGTTGTTTAGCTTAGAAGAAAGACAAGTGAGACATGATAGAGGTACACAGAATTATGCAGGGTCTGTAGATTGTGGAAAAGGAGGCATTTTTGCCCCTCCCTCATAATACTCGGATCTGGGGTTATCCCATAAAACTGATTGGTGGAGGATTCAGGACATGTCAAGGGAAGGACTTCACTCAGTGCATAGGAAACTATGAAATTCACTTCTAGAGCACGAAGTGAAGGCCACCAATTTGAACAGCTTTAAAAGGATGTTGAACAAATCAACAGGGGATGAGACTTTGACTGGCTACTGGTCCTGATGGCTGTGCACGCCCTCCAGTGTCAGAGGCAACGGTGTGCACCATGTGCTGGGAAACAAGGTGGTGAGGGCACTGTTGCTCTCGAGTCCTGCTTGGGAGTTTCCTGTAGGAAACTGGCTGACTGTTGTGTGGACAGAACGTATGCTGGGGACTACTGGGACTAAAGTCCAGCCAGTCTGGAGGGCACCAGGCTGAGGAGGGCTGCCCTTCCATGAGCAGGCCGGTGCTGCAATTGCGGCTGAAGAGGAGCATGTGTTAAAGCAGCAGCTGCTCTGGAGGAGGCCAAGAGAGCGGCTGCCATGGCTGTTGCAATCTAGCTGGATTATGTATTGCTGCTGACAGGATTAGGGGAAAGAAGGAAGCAAGTTGCATTGCTCTGTCTATTCGCTTCTCTTTCAGAAGGCACTCAGGGCACTGGAGCTGTGGAATCAGCTGCAGGGGTGCTGATCAAACTCTTCTGTGTCCACACCAAGTGAGTATCGTGCAGTGCCGTTGCTTTAGAGGGCTTGCCTTCTAATTCTGTGTTGACAGTGCAGGGTCTGTCTGCCAGCATGTCGTTTTTGGTCTTTGGCAGCAAGCAAGGTGGAGCTGTACCATAGGTCAGAGGTGGGCAGAAGGTAGATTGGGACCCTGAGACCCTACAGTGCCAGCCAGACAGTTCTAGGCTACATGGATCAATAAGATAGCTTCATTTGCATCTTTGTGGACTGCAGCCTGTTTTCTCAGATATAGGGACACTGACACAGAAGCCGTCAATTCTTTCCCAGCCCCTCAAAACTTCGTCAAAGTTTCTCTGATTTGTGATCCTGGGAGAAAGATATGTCTGTGGTCCTTTTACTGCTGGCATGGCTTGAGTAGAGTAGTGTGTCTCTCTTCTGATGACTTTCTTGGATCGCACTGCTTAAGTGTGACCCCAGTCTCTGGAAGCTTCTTGCAAGGAGGATGTAGATTTGTAAGCATTGTAGAAATTGGAGAGGCTTCCAAAAACAACCAAGAAGGAGAAGGCCGCAGGTTGGAACTGATTCAGTCAGCACAGCTACAAATGGAAATCCACATGAACTGGAAGCTGACTCCCTTGCCTGTTGCTTGCCTTCCCTGATGCCTCACCCAGTGGACTGACACAATCTGCTTGAATGTTACAGGGCTCTTCAGGATGTCCAGATCAGGTTCCAGCCTCTCCATAGTCCAGACACAGCTGCTCCTATACCTCCCCATGCCTCCCATGAAGATTTTGGTGAGTATTCTTTCAGCTGAAGGTTCTGGGAAAAGTCATGCAAGAATTTCCGGAGCTTGAAGTATATCCTTGCGGTATTCTAATGCATCATATATATTCAGTTCTATGACTGAGACAAACCAGATAAATGTATATATGCTAACCCATTACATACCTTTGCAAAACCTGATTTTGATGATCAGGGAGGTGAGAAGGGGAGTCTTCCTTTAATTAAAGTTTGGAGAAGGAACATGAATGTTTCAAGCAGTTGTGCAATTGTGGATTGTGAGTTATATAGGTGACGGAGTCCCATACAGGCCCTCCTCTTTTCTAAATTCATTTTAAGCCTGTAACAGTCCAGAAGCCGGTCTTGTTCATTACCCTGCTTCCCTCATGGCCAGCCAGATGCTGTTTGGAAGCACACGAGCAGGACCTGAGGGCGATCACCCTCCTCTCGGCATTCCCTGGGAACTTATATTCAGAGAGATGCTGCCTAGAGGTGGCATGTTGCCATTATGATGGGTAGCCAATGGCTGGCTTATTTTTTATGGATTTGTCGAATCCCTTTTCAAATAAATAGCTAACACCACAGCTGCTTTGCAGCAGGTTCTGTAGTTTAACAGTGCACTGTGTGTAGGAGGACTTTCCTTTATCTGCCCTGGATTCCCCACTGTTCAGCTTCATGGGAGGACCCTGGGCTCTGTTATTATGAAAGCCACCTTCCCCACACCATGCACAAGTCTCCCATGCCCTCCCTTACTCTCCTTTTCTCAACTAGCTAGCTGCAAATGTTGTTCCCACATAAGGGAATTTGGGATGAATAATGTGTGATAACTTCCTCCAGGTATATATTCACTCACTTGGTTCCACTGAGTTCAGTAGGGCTTACTTCTGACTACTTCTGATAGGGTTGAACTCTTACTTTCACTGCAGTTCTGAAAATTTTGATACTAGTTTAGTTTAATTAGTTTACTTTTGACCAGTAAGAGCACCCGTTAAGCTGATTCATACATAAAACTAACCTGTGATTTGTTTATTTGGTAAACAGTGGGACAAAGTGCTATTTGTTTTTTCAACCTCCTTGTTTGTTTTCTTCCTCTTTGTCCATTTCTTGCATCCCACAGGCCTTTGCAACACCGTATACTAATTTCTTTCTACTATTCTTGCCCATTACCCCTGTACGTTGGCAAAACAACCCATTAGTCTGGGTTCACAATGACAATCCATGGGTTAAACAACCCAGAGTTCACAACCAAACAACAAACCATGGGTTCTCTTTCTGGATTGCTTGTGGTTAACAAACCATAGTTTGCTAGTGTGACTGGTTTGCACATCCAACAACTCAGAATGCAACAGCCTGCCGGTTAAAATCCTCCACAGATTAGTGTTATTTGCAAACCAATCAGTGCCGGTCTAGATGGACAAATATTCTAACTGGAAGCTTCCAATGCCTTCTTCTGCTGCTTCAGGACAAAATCTTGACTGTCCTGACTTTGGATTCTGAGTATTGGGGAGCTGACAGGGACTTTGGTTTGTCTTGCAACCTGTGTGTTTAACATTAATTTATCTGGGTGGCGGGGGGGGGGGGCGCTTGTGTAAGATTAAAAAGAATTTCATTCTCCCTCTTGGAATCATTTTCTGCTTGTTAATCTACATGGTGTATTTTGAAGCATTCCCAGACCACATGACTGACCTGGGCACAGAAGGGCTGGGATCAGAGAAGGGATCTGTGCATGGCTCACAGCCTGACCTACGCCGCGTTTCAGAGCTGTCCATGCCTGTGGACTTCCTTTCTCCATCCAATGACACAAAACCCAAGCTCATGACCCCAGATGCATTCATGACTCCCAGCACATCTCTGCAACAGGTATTTGCATGGGGTTGGCAGGGTCAGAGGGCATCTTGGCGTGGGCTTACTGCACGTTTCTGTGGCTGCTTCTATTAATATATGAGGGCTGGGAATAGTTAGCCCTGCACATTATTGAAATGGAGCTTTAGCTTTACTTTAGCAATGGAGGGAGGAGATTCCCACTTAGGACTCTGCATTTTTTACCAAGGGCTTTGGTGGCCTCAGCGGTTCCTTGTGTGGATTTGTCTATTTCAGGAAGGCAGCTTATTTGAGGGAAAATATTGGTCCAACTGTGCAAATAGTTTCCAGATACATGCATTGAACAAAGAAATGTGCTTGCAAAACATGCAGGGGTTTAAATAGGGTCTTTTTTTCTCTTTTTGCTAGTATTTACCTGGAGGGATTCAAATTGAGTTTTGCAGTTCTGGAGAAAAATCATTTTTGTAGTTATTCAGTATTATTGTCATTTTTAAGAAATGTTAAAGCTATAACTTATATATGTATATGACCCATTGGAAATGGGTTGGCTAGATTTCTGATTTTGTAGAGCAAATCCTTATGAATTGATCTAAATATTAGCAGTGCCATAATACTTCCATAAAAACAAAAATTAAAAATCACAGTATGACTTAACTTTCAAATTTCACAGAGCATTTCTTTGGACCCAAAGTTAAAAAACACTGTGAGAAAATATTAAGCCCCACTTAAGAAGAACTTTGCAGACTAGATCGATTTGTGATCAGTGAAGCAGTGGCCTTTTTTAAAGCCAGGAGTTATTCAGATCTGTTGCTAGCACAAGCTGTAATTCACAAAAATAAAGCAGAAGTAAAGAGGAACACGATAGTCCTCAGCTGAAGATTAATTTTAGACAATCCTCAAGTCATTAATTGATTATTATTTATAATGTATAAAAACAGGTCTTAGGGGTAGTGTTAATTAGTGGGCAATGCAATGCATACTTCCAAGTGAAATGCTAGCTAGCAAGCTCTCTACTAACGTCTTGTGTTATTTGTACCAGATCACAGTGTCACCTGGAAGCAGCATTAGCTCCCTCACGGCTGTCACCACCATGAGCAGTTCCTCGGTCAGTGAGCCCCTTATTCCCAGGTAAAGACTTCCTCCTGGTGCCACCCATAGCTTGCTTCCCAGGGTCTAATAGACTTTACTCAGAATAATGCATCAAAATGAACTAATTCCCAGCGGTTGCTCCAGGGAACTGTTTACAGCAAATCTTGTATCCTTTCCAGGACTGCAGGTGACAAATGTACTACCCAAAAGAAGTGACTCTTGCCTCAGTAACTACCCCCCCTCCCCCGGTAATCTTTCCTGGACCAGCAGCATTCACTGCATGCAACTGGGATGAACAGTGGAGGTTGTTATTGAAATGAGACTCTGGGTAAATAGTCCAGGTGTCCTAGGCTGGTGGGAGCAAGGAGACTCTAAAGCAGATTCCTTAGAATGCGGTTTTGGTGTGGCTGTAGAAGAGCACAAAGCTCAGTTCAGCATTGGTCACTGCTCAAGGCACATGGGGCCACTATACTTCTGGTTCCTTGTGTACTGAGAGTGAAACATGTTCTTAGTAATCCCCCACTGGTTGCATCAGTGCCGGGCAGAGGTCCTCCACAAATGTGTTTTCAGGCAAGTCTTCTGTAAGGGAATGGGGTGACTGTAGGTCCCTCCTAGCTCTTTGGCTGTCAGTCAAGGCTGCTCTCATGCAATGTTCCTCACAGAAGGTTCTTTTACTGAAAACATTGTTGGGTGGGTGGGTCCAGGAGGACAGAAGCAGACAGATTTGAAGTTTGTGGCAACTGCTTCCTTAAAATTCCAGGTCCACTAAGCAGAACCAGGAGCAAAGTGACAAGAGCAACTTTTGAGACTGAGGAGAGCAAAATAGAGAAAACTGGTTAAGGGAGTGGAGGCAGTTATTTTCTACTGTTTATGGGTCATGATAGATTTGCATATTCAGAGATTCAGACATCTTTTTAAGCCACAAAAAGGGAACAAATTTGTTAGCCAAAAGAGCCACACAAAGGCTTGGTCAAGCATCCCCACTTTACAATGAGGAATGCTGAGGCTTGAAAATAACAAGAGGCCATGGCAGTAATATAACAAATACTATACTTTCAAGTAATGTGAAAATAACAAATTAACAAGAGGCTGGGGTGGGAGGGAATTGTTTAGTTGCTGTTATTAAATCCTTGGGTGTTGAAAAGCCTTGGTGATCTACCAAAAATACCCGGAGATCTACCAGTAGATCCCAGTTTACCTTCTGCCCACCCCTGCCCTAGGACTGTGGGCTTCCTTAACCACGCTGTGCTCAGAGCCCCTGTCCTGGGGGCTGCAGACCTCTTGATGGTCACCGGTGCCTTCTTTTTGTTGCAGACCAGCTGAAGAAGCATCGCTGAGCCCAAAGATGCAGCTGGATGCCAGCCTTGCCCTGAGCAGCAGCACCGGAAGCCTGCAGGCGAGCCCTCGAAGTCACTCAGTTCTCCTTCCTGGCCTTCCAGACAAACTGACCCCAAAGGCCCCTGTTCCGGTAAAGTGGCTTTTTGTGAACATGCGAAGGTGGCTCTTCCCACCCAGCAGCACCACCAGCCCTGTGTGGCTTCTTGCTTCTGCACTCAGCTACTTGCATGTCCGGTCTGGGAGTCATGCCCCTGCCGCACCCCTCCTACCTCAACCCAGATAATCCTTTTGTGAACACAAATTTTTAAATGTGCAGTCACTGAATATTCAGTATTATCATCATTACAGTTACTTTCCATCTGCTTTCTTTTTGCAAAGAACCCAAAGTGTCTTACCTAGTTCACTTCCTCTCCATTTTATCCTGTGAGTTAGGTTAGGCCAAAGTCAACCAGTGAAATGCATAGCCAGGAGGGGACTTAAAACCTGGATTTCCGGAGTCCCAGTCCAGCAGGCAGCACCTCAGTGGCTTTCAGCGTGCTTTTAGATACAGAGCTCTGTCTCTGAGGTACAGACAAGTCATAGGAGCCCAGTGGTACCAAGGTGTGAGCAAAGTGATGAGAGAGCTAAGGCTAATGTGAAGTTCTGTCAGAATTTCTGCATGAATTTCCTATTGCTGAGACTGTCCCTTCTGCTTCTGCACCCAACCAACTACCTGGTCCTTCACTATCCATTTTAATGTGTTTGCAGCAGGGAGTGGGAACAGATGTCCCTCTAGATAATGCTGAACTGCAACCTCCATCTGCCCCAGCCAGCATAGCTGATAGCAGTGCACAACTTCTGGAGTACCACACATTTGCCAACCTTTTCTTAAAGGCAGAATACAATACAGCTGGTAGGTGTAGAGTGCTGTTCTGGCCACTGGGCTCTACCCCATGCTCAGATCAGAGGTTCACTGGACGAACTAGGGCCCACCTCTGTTTTTCCCATGGGGTTATTGTGAGAATGAAGCTGGGGAACCAGCAAGACTAGCCTGAGTGTTGAAGGAATTTTAACGAATTAAAATTCAGTGAAGAAGTCGAAACTCACATGCTTGCAATGTGCAAACCTTTTAAATCTTGTGTTTTTCTTTAAACATTTATTTTCATCATAGGTTGATTTGGGAGGAACATTTTTTTAATAAATGTACAAAACCATGCACACACGGAGTGGGGGAAAACGGCAGTGCTAGGAAGAAAGCGGGCAAGAAACTTGCAATCCTATTCATGTTAAGACAGAAAAACGCTCCATTGCCCAGCATCCCCAAGCCAGAAAAACCATCCTATGATTCCCATCATGTTGGGAATTGTGGAACTTTTGGAGAACAGTTGTTACAAGTAACAAGTCTGTGTTTTTCCTCCTCTGCTCAAGGTTTCTCCAGGGAACCCACCGCTTGCACTGGACCGGCCGGAAGTCGAGCCTCTGGTGGTGCCCCAGTCCTCCCCAACACGCGAGCGCTCCCCCGACGTCATTTCCTCGGCCTCAACTGCCATATCCCAGGACATCCCGGAGATTGCCTCGGAGACCCTGCAGCGCAGCTTTGGGGTGGTCTCCTCCGGACTCTCTGCAGAGGCGCTGGACCCCAACCCCCACGCAGACAGCATGGCTTCAGCTGCCTCAGCCTTGCACTTGCTGTCTCCACGGAACCGCCACGGCTCGGAGCACAGCCACCACTCCCTGGACATGGCTCCCAGCGAGGTGGACATGCTGACCACGCCGTCCCTGCTGGAGACAGCCCTGCCTCAGGAAAACGCTACTTCGGACGTGGGCGTGGGGCAGCCCTGGCCCGCTGCCCCCGACATCACTCGAGAAACCAGGAACAGCATGGCAGACAGGTCTCTGCTCTCTCTCCTCTCCTCTCCTCTCGCACAGGGCAGCAGTGCGCCATCTTGGTTGGGTCTTGGGCCTCACATCCTCAAATCATGCCCAAATTCACTCCTGTCCTTTCTGCACTGGGGGTGTAAGAAGATGCCTTCCGCCACGTTAGATCATTTTCTCGCCTAGCCCAGGTGCTTGCCTAGGCACTGGTGGCAGCTGGTCTGTAGGGCCTTAGGGACAGACAGGGCCTTTCAGGCTCCATGCTGATGTTATTTTCAACTGGGAATGGCAAGGATTGAGCCTGGGATTTTCTGCAGGAAAAGCATGTCCCCCCCGCACCCCAATTTCCTGTACTCATGTCACATTTTTGGAAGCCCATCTCTCCTCCCATCTCTGTTCCTTTATCCGCAGAAGCATCCAGAATGCATTTCTAAGGGCTGTGTTTGGTGTAAGAGGCTATAGGTCATTGACAAGAGACGTGTGTTGCATGCAGGAAGTCCCAGGTTCGAGCCTGGCAACACCAGGGCAGGCTGCCTGGGAAGCCGCTGCTGCCGGTCAGTGCCAGCAGTAAGGGGCTAGATGGGCCCAAGGATCTGACTCAGAATAAGGAATTTCCTTTGTTTCCACAAGCCTGCTTGAATTCATGTGTGAGCCCTAGTTGCACAAAAAAGAAAAAATAGTCTTTTTGTGCCTGAACCTTAGTTCTTGCCCTTGCTTGGATCAGGCAGAATAAATTGAGTTTGATGGAATTTCTCCCCCTTTTTCCCCTTAGCCCTAGGAATGACACTGAAGAGAAACACAAAAGCTCATATCACAGGCACAGCTACCACCTTCTGCAGCATGACAGCCAGGATGCCAGTGCTGAGCAAAGGTAGTGGTCCTGTTCTCTGTGTCTCTGTCTCTCTCTCTGTCTCTCTCTCTGTCTCTCTCTCTGTCTCTCTCTCTGTCTCTCTGTCTCTGTTGTGGTATACTGGGTTCAAGCTTCTGGCTGCAGCAAACCAAATGAACTTCCAGGAAGATGCTGTGGGAGAATATTTTCAAAAGCCATGAATACACCTAGCTGTTTTCTCCCCAGAATCACGGGGGCTAGAAACCTTGTTTATAATTTTAAAAGTTAACATTCCACCACTTAACTGTCTGTGTTTATTTGTTAGATCTGAATGGTGCTTCTGCGCTATAGAAGCCTTAAGCACAGTCACCTGCAGCGTTGATGGCCAGGCAGATTGGGGCACCTTGCCTCATAGCCTGTATACTTGCTTTACCTAGTTTCGCTCAGCAGGACTCTGCACTGGATAGTTTATCAGTTGCACATTAGAAATTCTGTGTTGACAAATGTAAGGCAAGGGTTTTCGTGCTTGTGTGTGTAGTGCTTTTGATTTCTTGTGTCTGTGGTGTTATGCCACAGGTGAGCATTCAAAGCAGACTCTGGGATTATTGTTTCTACAAAGCTAGGAGCTATCTATGCTAAATTTTCTAAAAGCTATTGGCCACTTTCTTGGTGGAAAAAGCTGGCTGCTTATTTGCCTGTAACAAGTTCCTCTTAGGTGCATTCTAAGCTAAGCCGTGAGGTCTGTCTGCTATCAGGACAAGTGATGGTTAGGATTGCTAGTAACTTACTTTTCCCTCTCGCTCCTTTGCAGTGACCATGATGATGAAGTGGCAAGCTTGGCTTCTGCATCTGGTGGATTTAGCACCAAAGCAGCTGCCCAGCGGCTTCCTGTGAAGGACTGGAAAACTAAGGGGTCCCCACGAGGCTCCCCAAAGCCAAAGAGGAAGGGGAAGAAAGATGATGGGTAAGCATGCATCCTGCAACATCAGGGGTAAATGCTTCCCATCAGCAGCCTTTTCTTTGACATTCTGACATTTCAGTCAAAAGCACATAAACCTCCATGTTACTCCTCCTTTGCAACCATTCACCGTCTGACACATGCAAGCAGAATGTATGCAAGAGATGAAAACATGAACGTTGTGTGCACTTGGTAGGCTGTTCCAGCAGTGCGGGATAGAGGTTCCATGCACAGGTTCATGGTCTTGGGCTGCCCCTTGAGCCACCCTTGTCTCTCGAGGCCCAGCTTGGGCTGGTGGCTGGATGGAGATCGCTGCTGTCAAGTGATGGACGCTCTGATAATTGCTGCCATGCACTCTGCCTGGAGTTGCCTTTGAGGACCGTTCAGAAGCTGCGGCTTGTGCAAAATGCAGTAGCCAGACTAATAACAGGGCTGCCTACATCCTTCCAAGCCCATAAAGGTGTTCATGGGTTGGGCCTGTGATACCTGACCAAATGCCTCTGCTGACCTTTGACCCAGACACTGTGATCCAGTTCTGGGGCCTATCTCTGATTGTCCCCTCTGAGGAAGGCTTGGTTGGTGGCAACAAGAGAAGGGGCTTTTCAGTGTTGGACCCCCAGTTTTGGAACAGGCTCCCCACTGAAGTCGGTCTGGCACCATCCTTTTTTCCGTCAGGTAAAGACCATCCACTACTGCAGGCCATTCAAGTAGCTTTTGGGGCCTGCCAGTTGCTACAGGCTTGCATATTTTCTTTATTCTTTTTAAAGTTATTTTATATTAACCTCTTTAATATGTGGTTTTAAATTTTGTGTTATAAGCTTTTAATGATGTTTTAACATTTTAATGTATTTTAATTGGTTTTTAAATATATTTTGTTGAACTGCCCAGAGAACTTTGGCTGGAGGTATAGAAATTGCTTAATTAATACCCTACCCAAACTTCAGAAATGTTAAATATTGTGTTTCAAAAGCATTTGGAAGTTGACTACTTTGCATCTTTACCTCTGTCAAAGTTGGAAAAGCTGGGTTGGTCTCCTTTGTAAAGATTCCCAGAGGAACCAGCGAGTGGGGGAAAAATACTCTTGCCTTTTCTGAACCAAGAAATGCTTTTTGAAGCAGAAACACCACTTGTAATACGCCATATTCCAATGTGAGCCCTATAAAGATGCACTTAGTGTTTGGCATGTGCAATTTGTGCAGTTATATTGACATCTTCTCTTCAGTTCCAGGGATGTGACCCAGTCTCCAAGATCTTTTGATCAGCAGGTTAGTGTACTACTACTAGAATTTCCAAATACCGTAAGCTTTGGAATGTCTCCTTCCCTTAAGGCATGCTATTTGGTTTCCCCATGCTTGTGGTTCAAAAATGAAATTGAAACGAAGACAAAGGGTGTAAAGGACACTGTTCTTTCATACCCCTTTGACTATGATTTGTTCTGGTAAACACCTTTTCTTAAGATTTCAGCCACTGGGTTTCTGCAGGTTGTTCTCATCCATTATTTATTAATTTAAAACTTTATCTAAATATAATTTTGCTAATCTGAACCAGTGTACATTTCTGTTCGGAAGAGATCTGTTTACACAATCATGTTTTCTCTGCATTGATAGAAAACAGGACTCAAGGTTCAGTTTCCCCTCTGAAGTGGCAGAGATGCCCAACAGAGACTAGCCTTCTCTTTTAACCTCTGCCTCACAAAAACCCCTCTTGACTAAGCCTGGAAGCTCTGGATGTTCTTGGTAAAACAGGTGTCAGGTTTGTGAAATTCCCATTCAGGAGGGAAATTGATCTGTAACTTGACCATTCTGTGTTCTTCCCTCTCTCTAGAATTACCCAGTGTTGAGGCATTGTAACATCAGTTGAGAGAACTGTCACTTCACAAATGCTTCTTTGAGAATCAGGGTGATGTAGTCTTTAGAGTGTTCAGCTGGGACGTGCATTTCACAGGGTGACTCTGGCCAGCCATGGACTCGCAACCTAACCTACCTCACAGAATTGTTGTTGTAAGGGCAGGATAAAATGTGGGTTCTTGCAAAAGGAAGGATAATTTGTATGCCTCTCTCACTTAAAGGCCAGTGTTTGCACCAGATAGACCTGAAGTCATTCTTGGTCTTGAGCATTATCTTTGCCTTGGGGCAGCAGGCTGAACCCTATGGATGCCAGTTCTTCCAAGTATAACACAGCAGGATGATTTGCGTGCCTCATCTCCGCATAGGTTGCTCCTGAGTACCAGGATGAGCTGATGTCTCTGCTGAGGAGCCAGCAGAGGGAGATTGCTGAACTGAGGCAGAGCCAGATGGATCTAATGCAACGGATCACCGACCACCTGGATGCCGTGCAGAGCTCCCTCATGGGTCACATAGAGCGGGTGATGGATTCCCAGCAAGAGCAGGAGCGTATCCTTCCTAGGAAAATGGATCTTTCTCTGTCCTGGCTTTATCCCGGTCAGAGGACAGCTTTGTGAAGGCCGAGGTGCAGTAGAACCAGGGCCTGCAGAAACATGTTTTTCTTAGCAGGGCCACTGAGGTGATTTACCAACCCTCAGACTTGTCTTTCCCTTTGGAGCCTAGCTGCACATTTATATGCCGCTTTGAGACTCCTCTGGGATTAGTGGGCAGCATATGTATATGTAAATCCTAATGGTAGTTGAAGGGGTGGAGGGGCAGAAAACGAGAAGTGAGTTTTCCCAACAGCAGTATATTATGCCCTGTTACGCAAAGTATTTTGGGGTGACCTGATCTTGAATGGGCAGTGAAGACCCATGCACTTCAGAAAAGGGTGTAGCCATCAGTGCTGTCATGATGTACCTCAAAATGTTCCATGACCCCTAGTGCTCTTATGTGCCCCCTTTTGAAAGCAGCCATGTTGAAAAAATGCTGGTCGCCTTCAGGAGGAAAGAGAACTGACTGCTTGTATTTGGCTTGGTGCTTTTATTTATTTGTGGTATTTCTCTACCACCCCGAAAAGAAAGTTCTCTTGCAATTGCAATAAAAAATGACACAGTTTAAGAAACTCAGAGGGCAAGGTGGCATGATCACAATCCCTTTGTATCCTCAGCACAGCTTGGTGAGGTTGCTTCTAGAGCACTCAGAAAGCAGTGCCTAGAAGTGCCTTGTATTTTTGCTTGTACTTACTCTGCTTGTATAATAATGCTGGCAAGAACTTGGGAAGAGCCATACTGGACCAGAGCAAGGGTCCATCTCATCCAGTATTGTCCTTCGAGGCCCATGCAGGACATGAGTGCAGTAGCGCCCTCTCCCTCATGTTCCTCAGCAGCAGGTGCACATGGCCCTCAGCCGAGGACCCGCAGGTGTTGATGGCCTTCTCCTCCATGAATGTGTCCAATGCCAGATCGCTAAGGAATAGAGAGTGAAGATCCCGACTGGTCCTTTAGCAGGAAATTTTCAGCTGTTCGCCTGTCTGGCCCAGTGTTGTATGCTGTCACTGGCAGTGACCTTCCCGCAACTCAGGCAAAGCGGTCTTCCTGGCCCTATTAGCTGGAGGTGCCATGGGAATTGCTCGTGCTGCTCAGGTCATTCCCCATGCGCTCTTTAACACTTCTGGGTTCAGAGCGGAGGCTGGACCAGGCCCTGGCAGAGGGACAGCAGCGCAGTGGCCAGCTGCAAGAGCACCTCTCCCAGCAGCTTTCCCAGTCGCTCTCCACGGCTGCCTGCAATCGGCTGGAAAGGACCGTCCGGGAGGAAATGAAAAAGACAGTGCCCCCATGTGAGTCCCACATTGAGCCCTCTGCTTGTGAAGTGACTGCCTGCCTTGGTCAAGAGGAGATCCTGTCGTGGCCAGAGACTGCTCTGGCATGGCACACCGAGCAGAGAAAACCCAGAACCAGCTCAGGGAAGTTCTTGGTTCCCAAGACTTACTGAGAGAAGAGCCTCTTGTCTGGAGACTGTTAGTAAGACAGGAATCTCTTTCAGCCCAAGAGCCGAAGTCCATTTCAGAGAAACTCTTGGGGACTGCAGTCCACTTCTGAATGGGTCTGAAAGCAAAAGTGACAGGGCCAAAATCAAAATTCCAGCAAAGCTCTTCCTGCCACCAGCTAAGCTTCAGGAGAAGCCTTTCAGCCTTTTGAGAATGGGAAGAAAACACTGGTGATCTGAGGAAAGGGGATGGGGCTACAAAAGGGAATGTGGCCTTCCAAGATTTGGATTTCCAGATGGCCAGCTCCTCCCCCCGCACCCGCCGCTCAGTTTCTGTACCACAGTTCATAGGGATGGCTTGTGCGTGCGCCCTCCCAGTTTGCACATATTCTTCCCAACCGATGGAAGCAAAAAATGGAGGCATCACTTTTTTCTCTTTTGCCTTACAGGCATTTCCAAGACCTTGGATCCCATCACTGGGCAACTGAGTAACACTATTGCAACCAAGCTTACATCCATCGAGGGGACGCTGAAAGAAAACGTCACCAAGCTGGTGAAATCTAAGGTAACGGGGGTTCAGCTGCTGTCTTTTCTGCATGCGTGAGCTTGGCTTAGAAGGGTGCTGGCCTGTGGTGCTGGTGAAGTATCGGGCGGTACTTGCTGCTCAGTTGCCACTGCCCACAGGGCTGCGTGGCCTCTCGTTAGGGTGGCAGTGTCCTGATGCACTGTGCAAAAGAGGTCAGTTGCTGCCTCAAGTGTTCAGTGGCCCTAGCACTTCTTGTTCTTCTCTTGGTGACCAGGCTGAACTTCTGAGCTGGGCTTGTCCTTCACTTTCAGAACCTTACTGATGCCATCGCCAGGGCAGCCACGGATGCATTGCAGGGGCCCATGCAGTCGTCCTACAGGGAGGCATTTCAGAGTGTGGTGCTGCCTGCCTTTGAGAAGAGCTGTCAGTCCATGTTCCAGCAGATTAACGACACCTTCAAGCAAGGCACGCAAGAATGTATGTCCCGCACCCTTGCCCTTTTCTTGTCAGCCTCATCTTCTGCCACCCTGAGGACAGTTAGCAGCAGTTTGCAGACACCTCTGTAGCAAGACCATTGTTGGCCTTGAGCAAATTCTCAGTGGTTCTGCCTCCACCATGAGATTCCTTTAATTTGCCTGAGCATCTTTCAGAAGAGTAAAGTTTGCTTTGGGATGCAGCACTAAGCAGACAGAGGAGGAGTCCTCACACTTGTGAATGGACAGACTAGATATAGTTGTGGTAATGCATCATGGAAGTTTCTTAGGGGCACACTGGGGCTGCGTGTGTGACACAACAGCCTACTGTGGATTATTGAACCCTTCTTGTGGCATGTGGGGAAGAGGTGGCTGCCATCTTGAATATGCGGCATCCACTGGCAGGTCGTTGCCTTGTGTCAGCCCAGTGAGCCTGCTGGGTCCGCTTGATACAACAACCCATAAGTGGAGGATGCATGTGCAGGTTGGTACCCACAGGGCTCCATTTCATCATTAATTGATCTGCAGCGAGCTAGAGCATGTTACTCTAACCAAGTCACTTGAGTGCTCCAGAGATGACAGAGGCATTTCTGGGCACGTTGCTGCACATCTAGAAAATCAGAATCCCACGGCGGGAAGAATTGCGACGTATTGGATGAAGTTCTTGTGTGCTGCTCTACTTTTCATGAGTCTTTTTGCAAGGCTTAAAAAACGTTGCCACATTTCCGGTCAAGACCTGAGGATTGTTACAGGGTGGCAGTGGGGGAATCCCTCTTGGCAAGAGAAGAGCCAAGCACCGGAGGCTAGGGAAGCACGGATTTCTGCCCTGTCCAGCTGACACTGCCCGTGTGTGCATCCTGTCCCATAGATATTCAGCAGCTGGAGACGCATCTGAAGAACAAGAAGGCGCGAGAGCAGGACGCACGAGACGCTGTGGTGGCCCAGCTCCGGCAGCTGGTCAGCTCCTTCCAGAGCACCACTGACCAGATGGCCTCCACCATCGCGGCCAGTGTGCACTCGGAGGTGCAGCATCAGCTTCACGTCATTGTGGGCAAGTAAGTGCTCGTGTGTGTCTCCCGTGGACGAAGCGGGGCTGCTCTGTGCTGCCGCAGAGCTGGGTTCACAGCCATGGACCCCTCCCCAAGCAGCCTGAATGCCGGCCGCAGTCCTCGGAGGCAGAGAATGCGAAAACTGCCCGAAGAGCCTCTGCGGCCCTCGGGCTTGCCAAGTTCTTTTAATCTGTGCTGCTTTCTGGGCTTCGCACCAGCCATTGCCATTGGAGGCTTTCCTGCAGCTGGGACTTGTCCCCAGTCTTGGGAACTTCTGCCACATGCAGAGCAATCAAGAGGATGAGATGAAATTGATCTGGGGTAACCCCCAATATAAGGCATGGGCTCGGCTGCCTAATTTGCCGGTGACTCTGCTTTGCAGAATGCTTAAACTGTTGGTTAATCCATTTCCTGGCCCACATAAACAGATCGTCAATTGTACCTGAAAGTAAAATCAAAATCCATTACAAGAGTTCAAGGATTGTATTTGCTCGCTTGCCTGCCCTTTCGTGTGCTTAGAAAGAAGAGCCAGCATGACGTGAATCTTCCCCTGTATTACTGCAGGTGGTTTGGCACCAGTATATAGACACCGTTTCTTTTCTCCAGCATGCAGGAGTCCATCCTGGCCCAGGTGCAACGAGTGATCAAGGGGGAGGTGAGCATGGCCATGAAGGAGCAGCAGGCCGCCGTCACCTCCAGCATCATGCAGGCGATGCGTTCTGCTGCGGGCACACCCATCCCTGCCACACACCTGGACTTCCAGTCCCAGCAGGCACACGTGCTGCAGCTGTTGCAGCAGGGACACCTGAATCAAGCCTTCCAGCAGGTATGTGTCCCTCCAACCACAGAGGCAGAGCTGACTCTCCTGCCGCTCCCTGAAGGGCCTGCGTGTGGCCTTCCAGATCTTCAGGTGGTCCTTTGCAGAGCCCAGCAAAAAGATCACTGGACAGGTTCAAGTTCACGGAGATTTTTTGCTGAGAAGTGAGCATATTGGCCTCTCTTTTCTGGTTCTGTCTCTCTAGGCGTCTCTCTGTAAGGGGCAGCTGATTGTCTCTACTTGAACCAACAGGGGGCACACAGTGCAGCTCTTTTGGAGTCCGCAGTATAAACTTCAAGCCATGCTGATGTACATTCACCCTCCTTTCCACCCTTTGGTTGCTGCATGGTCAAGGCAACCTAATATAGATTAGTTGCACCTCACTATTGTTTACTATATGATCTTTTTCATATTTCCACTTCAGATTTCAAGCATGCACAGTTTGTGCAATGGTGTGAAGAAAGTGGATGCTAGAGGGTTTTTTCTTCTCTTCTCATAATACAAAAATGTGGGATCACCTATTTGATAGGCAGTAGATTCAAGACAAAAGAAAGTGCTTTTTATACTATACGCCCTCATAAATGCATGTCATGCTGTTTTGGTCGCATTCTTTTTTCCTGCTTTTTACATCCTTTTTGTTTATCTTTTCATTTTGTTATAACTGCAGTTAAAAATACTACAGACCTTTAACTTAATGGGCTACTCCAGGATGTAGTGGTGACTGCTAGCTTAGATTAAAAACAAAACAAAACAGAATTAGAGTTCCGGAGTGTGGGTCTTATCCATAATTATATGCAGCATTTGCCAGTAAATCCTGATTGCTGTGAACAAAGGCATGAAGGAGTATTCAGGAGTGGGCAAAAGCAGTGGAAGATTATTCTGCATCCATCTTCTGTTTGGGTGTTTTCATGTGCTTTATTTTATTGCTGTGAACCGCCCATAGTACATCTGCTGTTGGTCAGTACAGAAAGCAGTTTGCAAAAAGAACCGAAATCGGTTGCCGTGGTGGCAGATGGAATGCTTAGTCCACCGGTGGTAGAATGTTCTGCCCTCTAGGCTGTTGGTTTGCCTTAGCCAGCAGAGCCAGTCGTGAGGGATGATGGAATTGTGGTCGAGCGCTTGCGGTGCCTGGTGTGGCCCATCCCTGACCCGCAGTCCTCGGAGGCAAGACTCTGCTGCAAGCTGCTTTCTTGGCACCCTGCTAGTGGTCTTCCTGGAAACATCTGGGGCGGTTCTGATGTTCTTACAGGATGAGGTTTCCAATCTATGCTGGTGTTTTCCTTTTCTATGCTAGTGTTGGCTGAGTCATAATAATGGGTCTGGTCTCATCTATGCACGTTTTTGTCATAGTTTGGGCCCAGGATCTGTGGCTGTTTGTGCTCTTGATAATATGCCAGATCTTGTGGCCAGGGAGGGTCACATGGACTTGGAAGTGCAGTGGTTCTTCAGGGCACTGGCCTGTGCATCCTTGAACAGAAAAGGCCCCACTGTGCTGCCTGCGTAATGTAGGACTTAATTTTCTTTCCCTGGATACATATGCGAAGGATCACACCATGAGCATATTAGCAAAGGCAGCAGTGGATGGGTAAAGAGTACATTCTGTTATTCCTCCCAGAGCCTTGTTCAGCTATCCTGAGCCAGTAAGATGCTCTGGATGCACTGGGAGGGCTCCAGGTTGGCAAAGGCCACAGTAAAGCGATGGCAATTCTCCAGCGTACCGTTAATCTGCATGGCTCCTCAGCTGCCTCTTCTCTCTTGCAGGCCCTCACAGCAGCCGATTTGAACTTGGTCCTCTATGTCTGTGAGACAGTTGATCCTCAGCAAGTGTTTGGACAACACCCATGCCCCCTCTCCCAGCCTGTCCTCCTGTCCCTCATTCAGCAGCTCTCTTCAGACTTGGGAGCCCGGACAGAGCTCAAATTGAGGTGAGTGGGTCAGTGTGGTCTTGCACAGGGCACATATCTTACCTTTCTGAAGGGAAAAATGGCAGGTGCTGTCAACAGCAGCACTTGTGTGCACTCCAGGCTGTTACATATACACATGTGCATGTGTGCGCACACCAGTTGCAAGCTTAGCTTTTGCCGGGAAAAATCTGTTTATCTTTCTATCTCCCCCCTGGAAAAGCTAAGCCTATAACTGATGCATTTCTCTTACCCTGCATAATTCTGGTTTAGCTAGTAATGGATTGTAAAGACTGGAGCCCCACCTTCCCAATCCCTGGAAGTCTTATTCCACAATCTCTCTGGTTTTTGAGCATCACTGGCGTTGCCCACTGGGTTTAGACCACATGACAAGCCAGGGTGTGGATTCCGTGTGGGTTGTCATTGGACTGAGGGTGGTCGTTGAATCATGAGTGGTTGTGGGAGCAACTGCACTAATAAATTGTGGTTGTCAGTCATGAACAGAACCCATGGTTTGCTGTTAGATTGTGAACTGTGGATTGTTCATGTAGCAAGTAAGATGCCTTTCCTGAACCTGTACTTTGTCTTGTTACGGTGCCTGAGCCAGCCCATTCTGTCAAGCACAATATTACATCCATACGGGTTAGAAATTTGCTTTTTTTCTTTTTTAGACGAGTTACTCACAAAGCTAGACGCTGTTCCTTCCTGTAGCTTAGCGTGTGCCCGTGGCCCAGTCCGGCCTGCCCACTTTCGTCGCCGGGGTCATACGCTCAAGCTCTGCTTTGCTCTCATCTCCTCTGTGCAGCTACCTGGAGGAGGCCGTGATGCACTTGGACCACAGTGACCCCATCACCCGGGACCACATGGGCTCCGTGATGAACCAGGTGCGGCAGAAGCTCTTCCAGTTCTTGCAGGCCGAGCCTCACAACAGCCTGAGCAAGCCTGCGCGGCGCCTCATGATCATGCTCCAAGGCCTGGCCACTCCAAGCATGACCTAGCGAGGTGTGGCCGCTCCCACACAGTGGCACCCACCCTCGCTCACCGAATGTGGCTGCTTCCCCCCCCCCCACCCCTTTTCTAAAGCCTTGGCTGGGGGGAAGAAAATGCATTGAAACAGCACGTGTGTGGAATGGATAGAGGGGGTCGTCTGAGCTGAGCTGCGTTAGTCCCATAGAATCTAAAATATGCTTACTTTCTCTGCAGGCAGGCCCCCTGCCCCCTTTCCGCTCAGCCTCTGCCTCACTTTGTACGAGCTAATCCCGTCTTTCTCCCATTTTATAGCCTGGAGCCCTCCTCCCCAAGCATTTGGAGGTCAGGAAGGAGGCGCTCTACAAACCCACCCTACCATATCATGGGGAAGGGCGTTGCTATGCCCAGCTAAATAAAAGAAAATGAATAAGTCAGAGATACCTGTCCAAAGATGAAGGCAGGTCGTAGAATCGCAGCAGCCATGGTGGGGTGTAGCCTCCAGCTGCCCCACTCGTCGATGGGGGGACAACAAGCTCATGAAGCCCACCCATCCCAGGAAACAACATTGCTGCTTTGTATGGTGGAGCATGTCCATGAATCAGAGAATTCCTTTGGGGGGCGGGGGTGGTGTTTGTTTATGTTCTGCTTTTACAACACTTTTTTCCTTTCCTTTTTATCTAGGATATTAAACTTTCTTTTTTGAATAACATTTAAAAAGGTTCAATAAATGACTTTTTGGAGGAAAAACACCCTGCTGCCTGTGGTCCTTGCTTTTACTGGACAACCTACAGTTACCCTGCTGGGAAGCTCCTAAGCCCACTGGCTCAATCGCATTACGGCAGTGATGCTGATGTGAGATGTTTCCTTGTGTGAGGATTCTCACTCCATGCTTCTGCTTATGCCTGATGCTCTCAAACAGGAGTAATACCAGACAGAGGAGTTCTGTGAATAAGGTGAAAGAAGATGCAGTAGAGGCATTAAACACACGCACACGCACATGCACATGCAAACATCCTGGTCAGCGGACAAGCTCCATGATGCTGAGTGAGTGCAAGACAAGTCTGCAGCCCCACACCTAACCGGAGAAGACCTTTGCAAGCAATCAGTTCAGATATCTGGCAAGAGTGATTGGTCCCTGCCCTGGCCACTGTCAGTGAAAGGACCGTGAGGATCAGAGCGGGAGAGAGGAAGCCAGCAGAGTTGAGAGGAAGCAGGGGGAGAGGGAAAACAGGTCGCTCCATCCACTTAATTCTGGCTCCACTCACTGGCTGAAGGCAATTGCCCCTAAAGCAGTGCCCCCTTCAGCAACAAAAAGATGCTTCAATTCTGATGTAGAAGGTACCCTCTTGCTCTATAGGAAGCTCCATTGTGTTATGCTTTTCCCTTGCCTTCTCCTAATGGCAAACTTGGATACATTTTTTTAAAAGTATGGATTTGGCTCATGAGAAAAAAAGTAAAAACATCCACCACTGGGCAATACCTTTAATTGGGGCCAACTAAAATTCCACAATATGTAAGGTTGGAATTTCCCAGGATTCCAATGGGCAAAAAAGCAAGCAATGAGGAAAAACTAAAATTAAAAAATTGGTAGGTGTTATGTCCTTGCTGTCTGCAGTTTAGGCAAGCCCAGTCTCAACATGAAAACTTGCAGGAATTGGCCAACTGGCATTGCAGGATTTTGGATTGTCTCCTTTCCATTGCTGTCCATCCTACTTGGTGTAGTGACTGATCCTGATCATGTACATTCCCAGACTAAGTCCTCAAGCTGATGGTCTCCTTTTCTAGGAGTTGCTCTTAACTGACACATTGATTTGCAACATTTCACCCTGATGACAGCAGGAGCATCAACCGAATAAGAAGAAAAGATGATGTGGTATAGAGGGTGTGGTGTGTAAAACTATCAGTCCAAAAGTATTTAATTCAGTTGTGTGCCTAAAATTTTAAAAAGCCATAGGCTATATGGACTGTTGTGCACAACCAAGCGTGCCAATTCTGCTTTTCTTGCATAACCATCATTAGTTGCTTTGTGGGTTGTATAATTAGCATGATGACCAAGCCCTGACCAGTGGGTGGTTTTGGGGCTAAACAAACTAGATGACCCAGTGCATAACCTGCAAAGGAAGCAACGGTAGGTTGTGCTGTAAAGTGGAAGAGGTAGGCAGTGTAACCCCACATACCCAACAATCCATGTAGGTCTAAGCACGGGGTTGTCATTAATGCAGAAAGCTCTGCTGTATTTTCCTTCCTTGGGGTTTCCTTAGTTCAATTCATCACCCCTTTTGTGTGACTCCTGAGACTCTGTCCCAGTTTGCTCCCAACCAAGCAGCAAGAAAGCCATTTAACAGGCTTTAGAGCTGTGACAACCCAATGAGATTAATCTTGTTGCCAGGGCATCAAGCTTTTTGTGGGCTAAGGCAGATGTTGTAGCATCCAATATCCCCCAGCTGCATTTTGTTGCAAGTGGAACAAAAAAAGCTACGAGTTCCTTAACCTGCAGTCTGAGAGTGAATGCAGTGTTGCGCTACGCTGGGGTACAGAACCTCTCAGCCCAGGGCTGAGTTCCAACTGGGAGAAAACTAGGTGGTGCGTGTACAGTGGCAGCATATTTCACACAAGCGCTTAGTGCTAGTAGCTAACCCTGGAAGAGGCATTCAATCTTAAGGGGTGGGGAAGGAATGGCACAAAAGCTGGAAAATGACCCAACAGTTAGTGGCTGAGGAATGGGGCAGAACCAGGCAAATGGGAGGGTTGCCTGGAAGCCTAGCTTGGGATTCTCTAATGGTTGGATTTGGACCCTCAGTTTGAGGTTTTGCACTTGTGAATTACCTCCTCTTCTCTTACAACCTTCCCACTCCCCCTTGCCCTCAAATCTGTTTTGCAATTGCTGTTGAATTTGCTCAGTACAACTGCAAATCTGCTGCCCTACTTGTGTGAGTGCAATAAACTCCTTCCCCCAAAAAGTGAAGGTGCCATTGCTGGAAATAAATTTGGGGGCAGGAGAGATTGGAGGTGCATCCCTCTGGAGTATTTAAACCACCATCTAAACCACCAAAATACTTTTATAAGTTATTCATTGGCACTTTTATCATGATCATCTTATTTTCATGTTGGAGAAGGTGAATTCTGGTTTAGCAGCAGCAGCTTTTATGGGCCGCATGGTAAAGTCATTGTATATCTGAGCAATCTGCTGGCAATTCTTTTAAAAATAATATTGGTGTTATTACAGCAAGCACAACCACTTAAATGTGAAGGTTTTCAAAGGGGTTGGTAGTTGGGAGGATAAGGGGCATGTGTTTCCACCGTAATTTCTCATGGGCTCTATTTGCATACATAAAGCTAGTCTTGTGCATTACGGAGATAATTTAGAAAGAGGCTTCCTAGCTTTTCCTGTGCTCAGATGGTCCATTTCAATGCAAGTGAATAAGAGAGAGAGAGAGAGATGTATGGGAATATATCCCTGACTTTCTCTCTACTGTATTTTCCCCACAATGCTTTGCTAATCTTCACTGTTCTCCATGTCCCAAAATATGCGCCACAGTGGCTAAGCAGGTGTCTGCTGCAGACACAACCTGCGAAGGGGGGTGGAAATGGTCTTTTGTAATGGCCAAAAGCTTGGATTAACAAAGGGGAGGCCGTTGCGCCTTGCTTTCTTCTCTCACTGGAGAGGCCAGGGCAGCCAGCTGTCACAAATGAAGTCTGTGCACAAGAGGATCACGCATCTTATTCAAATTCCACCATTGGGCTGTTGTTCCAGTTGTGACTTGAGATATCAAAAAAGGCTTTACGGATTAAAGTATTCTGAAGGGAAATATTCCTCTCCCAGCTGGCTCTTGTACCAGAGTAGCGGGGGGGGGGGGCGGGGTGAAATGCCCTTTTCTCAGAGGCTGGGCTTCTTGCTCCATTGGGATAGGATAGTGGGGGTGAAGGTACTTTAGCACTTCCAGTGCCCATCTTTCTCACAGCGAGCAAACACTACCTTCTTCATACTTGTCCACTGTAGGCCAGTTTTCCCCAACCCGGTGCCCTCCAGATGTTTTTGACTTGAACTCCTATTAGCCCTGACTATTGCCCATTCTGGCTGGGACTGATGGGTGTTGTAGTCCAGAACATCAGGTTGGAAAAGCTTGCTGAAGCATGTGCTTGCTCTTATTTGTCAGTCTGTCCTTGTTTCTTTTGGATAGTTTGTATATTAAGTTCTATAAAACTGTTGTCCCCACAAGACCTCTAACAATCCAGCCTCCCCCTGTCTGGCATGCACTAGATTTGTTGTACTACAATTCCTATTATTCCTGAGCATTAGCTGGGGCTGATAGGACAAAAACTCTTCAGGACACCACACTGGAAAGGCTGCTCAGTGAACCAGCAAAGTTTTCTTTTTATTCTCTTGTTTTTAACAGGGTTATTTTTATAGATCTGCTTCCCGCAATACAACCAGCTATGGGTTGGGAATGAGTTGCCACTGAACTGAGTGTGTTCCCTAAATCATGGGTTGCTGTGTTGTGTGAACCCAGCCACACTAATAAACCATGCTTTGTTAATCACCAGCAACCCAGAGTTCATACACCTCCAACAAACCATAGGTACTCTGTGGGGTTTGTTTGCGAGCAACAAACCATGCTTTGCTAGTGTGATTAGGTTCACGCAACATAACAATCCATAATTCAGCAACGACACTTAATCTACTCTCAGTCATCACATTAAATGAACTCAGCCACTGAGTTGAATTTAGGACTAGGACAGGATAGTACACATTTTTCAGTTTCTCAGAACATTATCCTCACAATCAGTTTTCCACATGCACAGAGACATACCTAAAGCGAGGATGGGATACACATGCAATCGATAAACTTGGATGTCCAGTGATCAGGAACAGCTGTGTCATTGAGCAGACTGTGGTGGCTGCCTCAGACAGCTGTGCTTGTGTTGTGACATTTGTTTCAGCGGAAAGGTGGTACAAATGCATGAAATGAACACGCCTCACCTAGGGCTGATAGGAATTATAGTCCAGCATCTTGGTTGGGGTGCGGTGGGGGACACATACTTTCTCTACCTTGTCCTATAGTCCATCCAGGATGCATCCCTTCCACAGAGAGCAAGTTTCAAGAGCCCTGATACATTTCCAGGACCAATAGCTCTTTCCCCAAACTGGTATATTCTCACTATCAGAGATAATCCATCTTGATTCTAAGCCTGGTTTATTTATGATTTGTTAGAGTGATTACTGAATGGGTACCTTTAAAGAGGGTTTACAGGGCAAAAAACCTTACACTTAATGAGCTGCCATTCTGAGTCTAGTGAAGGATCCCTCTCAACCAGCAATCCTGCCTTTGGTACTGGACAGATGTGGCATGGAAAGTGCATGGTCAAGGCATCCCTTCCACAATGAGCAATCCCTGTTTTGCCTATTTTGCCCACAGTATCCAGCTGTCCACTGTAGAGTTGGCTCTTTTTAATTTTAAAAAATCAATACACATAGATACTTTTCTCATGTTAAGTCATTGCCTCTGGAGAGATGACAAAACACAGAAGTCAGCAATTCTACAGCAACATTTCAAGTTACATGAACAGAAGTACCGAAGAAAAGCCATGCTGGATCAGAGCAAAGGTCTGTCTAGTCCATACACATGGTATGGTCCATACTGCCCACGGGACCCCTCAGGCAGGATGGGTGCAAGACCTCCTCCTGCCCTGGTCCTCAGGAACTGGTATATGCAGGCATGCCAACTCTCGGAAAGAAGGTAGCACATAGACAGCAAGGCCAGCAGCCACTGACAGCCTCCACTCTCATGAATCTGGCCGGTCTCTTTTTAAAGCCGTTCAGATGGGTGGCCATCACCACTTCCCATGGCAGCAAATTCCATAGTTTAACTGCATGCTGTGTGAAGACCTCTTTCCCAGACCTCCCACCAATCAGCTTCATGGGATGACCCTGGGTTCGAATGTCTCCCTCTTTACTTTCTCCACACCGTGCATTATTTTAAACACCTCTTTCACATCTCCCCTCACTTGCCTTTTTTCTAAGCTGAACAGTCCCAGTTGTTGTAGCTGCTCCTCACAGGGCGCTGCTCCAGCCCCCAGTCATTTTTGTCACCCTTCTCTGTTCCTTTTCCAACTCAGTAATGTCCTTTTCCAGGTAAGGCACCCTGCGCTGAACGCAGTATTCCAGGTGCAGTCATCCAAAAGGTTTGTATAAAGGAAGCGAGATCTTGGCAGTTCTACTTCCTGTTCTGTTCCTAGTGATGCCTAGCATGGACTTTACCTTCTTCACCACCGCTGGGCATTGGCCAAAATTTTCATCACACTGTTCACCACTACCCCAAGATCCCTTTCTTGCTCAGGCACTGCTAGTTGCAATCCCATCAGAGTATCCCAACTTCGATTTTTTGCCCTAACACTTGCTGATGCTGGACTTCATTTGCCATTTGATGCCCATTCTCTCAGAAATGGAGCAACCCCTCACAATACCTTTTGGTTGTAACCACCACAAAAAGTTTAGTATCATCAGTGAAACTTGGCCGCTTCACGGCTTACTCATAATTCCAGATAATTTATGAATACGTTGAAAAGCATTGGTCCCAATACCAAACTCTGTGGGACTTCACTGGTGGCAGATCTTCTTTGGGAAAAGTTGCCATTTATTCCCACCCTCAGTCTTCTGTTTTTTTAGTCAATCAGTGATCCACAAGAGAATCCCCCTCCCCACATTTATTCCATGTCTGATTAGTTTGCTGAGGAGCTTTTGGTGACGGACTTTGTCAAAAGCCTTTTGGAAGTCCAAATAAACAATATCTACTGGATTTCCCATCTATGTGCTTATTGACACTCTTAAAGAACTCCAATATGTTAGTGAGACAAGACTTCACCTTGCAGAAGCCGTCCTGATTTTTTTTCCCCAGCAGGGCGTGGTCCCTCACAGAAACTACATGCAGCTGAGTAAAATTTGGTGCACAATCACTTTCCCACTAAACCAGCTGGAATTCTCACATCTGGATTTTGAACAGATTCTGAACAGAAGATGATTCTGAGTCATCTCCAAGGGAAACCCCAAGTATAATGCACTGCAGTAATTATCACAGCAAAGCTATCTCTAGTCTGAAATGACCGCAGTTAGTAAAGCCAAGCCACAGCACAATGAGGCCCAATGGGCCTCCAGGGGTACTATTGGATCAAGGAGCACCCCACTAGCTGTGCATCTGGTTTCTTTCTTTCTTTCTTTCTTTCTTTCTTTCTTTCTTTCTTTCTTTCTTTCTTTTTTTTTTTTTTTTGAGAGATTACATCCAGAATGGGCTGAAAACCACTTTCTTGGTCCCGTAACACCTCACTTTTCTCAGGACTTAGTTTCAGTTACTATCCCTCATTCAGTGCACTAGCCTGTTGATATCTCTGGACATCTATTCAACACCTGCATATTCTCATCTGGCAAAGGGCTGGGTGAAGCCTTCTGATGCTTCACTCCAATCTGCAGAGGACTTTATGGGGAAAAAGATGGAGCCTTGTGGGACCTGCAGCATAAATGCCATGAGGTTGGGGAGAAGTCTCCTAGTACCATTTGTAAGCAGCACTGCAGCTATGAATGGCACCATCATGGCACCAAACCCCAACCCATCAAGCTAGTTCTGTACGATGCTGCAGTTGATGGTACCAAATGCTGCAAAGACATCCAGAAGTATTCCCTGAAAGGTCATCCAAAGGAGCAAGTGTCAAACCTCACCGGGAGTTTCAAGCCAAACCAAAATGGGTCCAGATATTATATTTTGTTGCGGATGACTGAAGTTCAACCAACACCTCCCTAAATACATTGTTCAAAAAGCAGATTATTTACAAGCAGGCAGTTGTATCTTCCAGATCCAATGAGGATCCCATTTGACTGGGAATTCGGGGAGTTGCGGCTCAACATTTCTGGACCTCGCCAGGTCGGGAAAGCTGGAAATAGTGCCTTGAAAACGTGGGGAAGCTTTGCAGGTTGACTACTGGGGGATGCAACAATGGTGAACTAACCTTGTTTTGCCCTCATCCCATTGAGTAGGCAGTGTAAGACTTCGTGGTGCTATGAGATTTTATTTTATTTTATTTGGTTGCAATACACTAAGAGCACATTCCTTTTAGACAGAAAAATGGTGGGGAAAAGCATGGCTGGGGGATGCTGGGACTTGTAGTAACATGCGAAGGATTTCACCCTAACTCGGCGACACCCCCAGTTTTCCAAATATGCAACCGAAGATCCTGTCTGCAAGGAGATACTTCGTGGCTGCGGGAAACAAACAACAAAACTCCAGAATAATGAGATACATTATCTGTGAACGATGCGCTGGCACCGAGTAACGAAAGAAGAAAAGCGAAAGGAAAAGCCTCGAACAAGCACAGAAGTCTAGTTAAAGAACGCGGCGTCCTTTTCGTAATCACAGATAGTTTGTTTCCGTAGGCGAAGAGCTGAACTTTCTTCCGCGCGTGCTCCGGAGGCCCGTCTCGGCCCCACCTGCGGCTGCAGAGGGCGACTTTCAGAACCGAGCGACGGCCTCCCCCGTCCGGCGGCGCCCCTTCCCTTCCCTTCCCTTCCCTTCCCCGGAGCGCTGCATCTGGAGCGCGGCTTTTAAAGGGCCCGCGCGCGCGCGGCGGAGGCCCCCCTGGACGGCCACCGCACTGCGGCTCCGGCGGGGCAGACCCGGAGCGAAGGGAAACTCGGGCTCCCGCAGGCTGCGCGGAGGAGGCGACTCGCGCCGAGCAAGCCCCGCGCCGCCCCCCGGCTCACTCCAGGTGCGCGCGCGCGCGCCCCCGCGCCCTGAAGTACGTCGCCTGGGCCGCGCGCCGCTCAGTGCAGCGCGGGCAGGGGCCGGGGCAGGCGCAGGGGCGGCGCTGCGCGGGAGAGGAGCGGGGCTCCGGCGGCGGCGCGGGGGCGGCGCGGCGGCGCCGGGCTGCGCTCCCGCCACTTCTGCGGGCAGCCTGCCGCTCGCGCTCCCGCCTGGCTCCGCTCCGCTCCGCTCCGAGCTGCTGGGCGCGGCGGCGCCATGGGCTGCGCGGCGCTGCTGGGGGCGCTGGCGCTCCTGCTCCCGCTGCACCTGGGTGAGTCTCCGGCG